TTCACTGTTGTTTATTATTCAAAAGTGAAAAAGAGGAACTTGATAAAATATTACTGAATTCCGCCCGAATTTTTAAGAGCGATACACAGAAATATATGCGTGGGGAAAATTTTATGCACAAATGAAGAGTGTTTAGGTATCGCACTGTCATCATTTCCAAATAAAGAATTTTCAAGTTGGGCAAAAGGCGAATCCATTCGGATTTGCAAAATTCTTCATGAAGAAGAAACAAGAAAATGTAGGGATAAGATATTTGATTATCGTAGAACAAAGGTATGCACCTCTATATACATTTATTTTAACTTTTATGAAGTTCTAAAATATATCATTTTTGTATTTTTTTATTAGAATTTGGGAGACGTCCCTTGATAGTATGCTTTTCTCCTCAGCGGACAAATCGAGGGAAGCCATCAACAGTGACTGTTCTACATATACATTTGGATCCATATTATATTCCACAATTCATTCCAAATCTGCGGCCAATCTGTGCCTTCTTTAATTGCATTGGCCACTGACAGATTATATGCTAGAATACAGTAGCCAGTAGGTATAATGCATTAATGCATTAAAAAAGATTGTAAAGATATTTTGTGTTAACACCCAAGTTCATTAGAAATGTGATAAGAGGTTATATATCAAGTTGAATACATATATTACAAAATGGTTATTTACATGCAAACCTATTGGACTTGGATTCAAGTTTCAACAACATGCAGAGACAGCGGATGTTTTCCTGGTCTTTTATTAACTGCTGACTAGTAGGATGAAGCTCTAGACGTCTTTGAAAAGGTGTTTTAAAAACACAAACGTGTATCATAACCTGTTGGTCATAACCCATGAGGTTGCATGTAAATGGCAATAACACAAAAAACACTAAATATAATTATTGCCTGGCAATCTCTGTAACCCCTCCTCTCTATCTCTGACAGTGTGCAACACCATACATGAATTATTATTGTAATATAGTATAATATAATTAACCAGATTGATTAGTATAATACAGTCAACCAGATTGACCACATCACCATCGACAAGAAGTTTAGAAGAAGCCTGCAAGATACCAGAGTGAGGAGAGGGGCGGACGTTGCCTCGGACCACCACCTGCTGGTTGGACGGGTGGGATTGAAGCTGAAAACGTGCCTCTGCCAGGCAGCAAAGCGGGTCGTAAGTTCAATACCATCTATCTCAACAACAGAGCCCTGAAAACAGAGCCCGACAAAGCAAGCGTGGAAGTCAACATGTGAAGAAGTACTTGGGAAGAGGAGCAGGGTCCAAAAGGAGTGTTTGACAACAGCCATTATGAGGGTCATTGACAAGAGGAGGGAGAAGAAAGCAGAATTGAACATGGCGAAAACAAGAGCTTTAAAAGCAAAGCTATCAAGGGAGCATTCAGCTCTAAACAAAGAGGTAAAGAAGAGTGCCAGAAGAGACAGGAGAGAACATGTGGAGTGCATGACACAGGATGCAGAAGACGCAGCTGGAAGAGGAGACATGAGGGAGATGTACCAGATCACCAAGAGGTTGGCCGGGAAGAAGAGCACTCAAACACAACACGTTTTAAGCAAGGATGGTGAGACCCTCACATCAACAAAGGAGCAGTTGGAGCGCTGGAGAGAGCATTTCCAGGACCTGCTGAACCGACCAGTCCCGCCCAACCCGGCTGACATCCCCTCGGCGCACCGAACCTTGAATATTAGTGTGGACCCTCCATCAAAAGCCGAAATTGAAAGAGCAGTGAAGAAGCTGAAAGCCAACAGGGCAGCCGGCCCAGATGAGATTCCTCCTGAGGCCTTGAAGGCGGACACAACCATGACAAGAAAATCTGGACCTCCAAAGAAATGCCTAAAGCCTGCCTGGAAGCACGGACACCTGATTAAGCTACCCAAGAAGGGAAACCTCAAAGAATGCTCTAACTGGAGAGGAATCACGCTCTTGTCGGTACCAGGGAAGGTCTTCAGCAGAATCCTGTTGGAGAGGATCAAGACCTAAGTGGAGAAGGAGCACATATTACGTGACGAACAAGCAGGCTTTCGGCAAGAACGATCAACCACAAACCAAATCGCAAAACTCCGCAATATCATTGAACAGAGCCTTGAATGGAACACCACCTTGTATACCATCTTTGTAGACTTTGAAAAGGCTTTCGATGGCGTGGACAGAGACCCTTTGTGGAAGCTGCTGGCCTACTATGGCATCCCGGAGAAGATCATTAAACTGATTAGGTTGGCTTTTGCCTACCTGGGCAGCACTGTGTCTACAGAGGGTGGAACTGATCAGGACATCCGCATTTGGATAGGAAAAGCTGCAGGAGCTTTCAATACCCTTCAACCCATCTGGCAACCAACGAAGCTGTCCCTCAACACGAAACTTAGTATCTTCAACTCCAATGTGAAAAGTGTCCTCCTATACGGCAGTGAAACTTGGTCATGTCAAAATTACAAGTCTTTGTGAACCGCTGCCTCCGCCAGATTCTTGAAGTGCGATGGTACGACAGGTTGAGTAATGAAGAGCTGTGAAGAATAACATCCCAGGAGCCAATTGAGCAACAAATCAAGAGACGCAAGTGGCGTTGGCTCGGACACACGCTGAGGAAACCTGCAGACAATGTCACACGAAGAGGGCTACGGTGGACACCCCAAGGGAAGCGCAAACGAGGACGGCCGAAGACCACCTGGCGGCGCTCAACGGAAGCCGAAGCAAAGGCCGCTGGCCTGACGTGGGGACAGCTCGAGCGGAAGGCCCAGGACAGAAGGGGATGGCGTTCTCTGGTGGACGACCTATGTTCCGTACGGAACGACAGAAACTAATATAATATATATAATATAAATATTATGTGGTGTATATATGAATTATATTTAAATTAAATTTTAATCTCCATGAGTTTTGGTGGTTCATTGGCCCAGATATCCATCTGCAAGAGAAGATAGCTTTAGTTGCCTGCTAGACTACATTTAAAGAGTATTCAAGCAGACATCTCCAGCAGGAGATAACAATATGAAATAGCTGGAAGTTTCTAACTAGCACACAGTCATAAACAAAAAATAGCAATTGTCGCAGGATTTTCATTCTCGTTAAAATGATCTCCTAGATTTTCGAGTTATTTTACACATTACACATTGGTATATTACAGTGACCATGTGTACAGTATTTATTGTTAAACACAGGAACATGTTGGGGCATACAAGTGAAAGACATATGTGTGGAAAATCAATGTAAATGTCAACTTCAGGTTTGACTGGCAGAGCTGGCCCAGTTAACATGCATAAAAAGTATTTGAAATATATACATACTGTATGACATTTAAAAACATAGAAACATGCGCATACATATATTTTAATGTCAATGGAACTTTGAACATTTTGTCCCCCAAGCGACGATAAATCCAAATCACCAGAACTTGAAGATGCTATTGTAAGGATAATTTTATCATCAAAATATGATAACGGTCGATGGATATTATTATTAGCATATTTAAGAACAACACGAAAGATTCACTGACAGTCTGCTCTAAAAACGTACTAAATATTATGTAAAATGCAATCAAATTCTGTAAAAAATTACTACCGTCAAATGAGAACTTCTTCAGCGATTCCTCCAGGTCATCCATATGGCCACAAACCACCAAAAACGCAAGAATGCACGAATAAAACGCCGAAAAGCTCGATTTGTCAGAAATCGTATTTCTGGCAAAAACATTTGCATTTTCTGCCAGGCGCTCCATTTCTCCGTCGCGTCCTCCCCAAAACTCCTTGCGCACTCGCTCTGCTTAACCACTGATCTATGTAAAAGCCTGTAGTGTTCCCATATTTATTTTATTTAAAGCGCCTGGGTACGAGGCTGGAAATGCGGCTTAATACCTCTTTATGTGGAGTGGGTGAAGTGACGACTGCGATGTCATGAAGAATCAAGCAATGGATCAGTTTGGTGTTAGATTTACAACGCAAAAATTTCCCTTCTGCGAATTTTGTAATTGGAAGCGGGGATTTGTCAGTGGTGTCGCCGCAAATTATATATATAATATATAATAAATATAATACACAATAAATATATATATATATAAATATATATATATATATATATATATATATATATATATATATATATATATATATATATGCAGATAGATAGATAGATAAATAGATCAGTATAGATAGATAATATATATATATATATATACAATTAAGTAAAGTATCCAAGAAGAAAGAGTGCTCGATATCACTCTTTATATAGATAGTGTTATTTATATATATGAATATATATATATATATATATATATATATATATATATATATATATATATATATATATATATATACTTTGGTATATCGAGCACTCTACTCATATATGATTCTAAATACATATTTGATATATATATATTCTAAATACATATTTTATATATATATATATATATATATATATATATATATATATATATATATATATATATATATATATATATATACACCCGTTTGCAAAAACGTTGGCCGCAGATGGATAGATAGATAGATACCCGAAATCTAATTAGAATTGCATATGTTGTGTAATATTATTGAAATCCCATGCAAATGTAATCATATACAATTCTAATTAGACTTCGAGTATCTATCTATCTATCTATTTGCGGCCAACGTTTTTGCAAATGGGTGTATATATATATATATTTCGGCAGTGTTCTAGTAACATGGGATCGAGTTAAATGATGAGAACGACCATAAATGACGAGTTCGACTGTCTACGGAATCGAAATTATTGCGTTTTCTCTCTCTCATTCTCTGGCAGTTTCATAAATATTTATATTAATGAAACATATTCTGATATATTCGTGTTTTACATTATTAATTTCTTTTCAAATCGATTGTTTACGGGCACTTATCGATGCCACAAGTCTGTTTTTAAAGCGCTTACTATATTTGGGATTAACTATATTTATATGTATAAAGGGAGCGTATGGTTTATATTACTTGGCAGTGTTCAAGTAAACTTTCGTTTTCTTGTTGAAGCTTTTTCTCAATGCCTGGCACGAAGATTACAGATGAGGATCGAAAGAATATTGCTTGGAAATTCATTTGCACCTGTTGTAATTTGCTGCTGTCAACACCGATGCAGACTCACTGCGGTCACTTGATGTGTGCTTCATGTGTTGATGCCTTGATAGAGTATGTTTTACTTCTCATTGCTCACGACTTTATTATAGAAAACAACATGCACTTCGATTGTTTGATTCTTCGCGCTGAAAAAGTAGTGCTTGTGTTGTTGTATGTGGCAAAGTTCAATGTTGATTTTTTCGCCCGTTATGAATAATTAAAATGCATTCACCGAAACTACTACTGTATTTTAACGTTTGTTTCATTCTGTAATGAGACTTTGCGTTCGTTTAACGCTTTCGGTGAATGTTAACTAACACAACTTCTCAATGAGCTAGATGTTGCGATGGTTTATCAATACTACTTTTCACCGGATATGTTGCTATTTAGCATTGAGCACTGACGGTTGCAATGTGGCGTATCGAATGTTAGCTGTAGAACCTTAATAAATTATTTAATTTTAATCCTCAAGTCACATGTATTGTGTAGTATCTCGTGAAAGTATCTCAACATATTAACGACATTCAAAGCGAAAGCAAACTTGCTCGTGCACAGACTTGCGAGATAAACTCAATAAATTTTAAAAAGAGGTATTTGACAGCATTTGAAAATAGGATTTATCTTAAAGGGTAACATGTGCGAAATATCAAAATGATTTAGTAATTCTTAAGCTTCATCTGATAATCGATAAATCCGGATTATATTTCAAACACAGAAGCTTCGATATGACAATGCTTTATTCTTCAACCAATACGGTATACAGCTGATGAAAACAAAAACAACGTCACATCCGGTTTACCGGTTGCCTAGCAACCCTAACGTTTAAGTTCTTCATCAGTTTGTTGTTTTGTTTTAGAAGAAAAGAATTGGCATTTAAATGTATCGGCGGACTGGGAGTCATGTCATTTTCTGGACCCAAGCAATTGGGGATTTGGCCCATCGATTTCCACGCCTTGATACTGTCGTGGGGATCTTCCTGAATAGATCTGTTTGCAGATCGTTTGAAGAGGCAGAGCTCCTCATAGTGACTTCGGTGTGGCCAACTCAAGCCTAGCACCCGGCTCTACTGGACTTTGCAACGGATGCCCTCCTTCAGAGTTCGTCAGTAGGGAGACTTTACGCCTTTCTCCCATTTTTCCTCATAATGCGGTCTTCAGGGAAATTGTGAGAGGAAGGGGCAGAGCTCCTTATAGCGACTCCGGTGTGGCCAACTCAGGCCTGGTACCCGGTTTTACTGGACCTCTCTGTTGCTTTGCCAGTTCTTTTGCCGTTGCGTCTCGGGTTGCTTCAGGGCCCGCACGCCAGTTACATCCCTTATTTGCGCATCAGACTCTTCATCTAGTCCGCCCGGAAGAAATGGAGTTGCTGGTGTCTCGGACGGGAAGTTGATCCATTTCGCCCCTCTTTGGCAAATATCCTGGCCTTTTTAGCTTGTGCGTTTGATGAAGGATTAGAATATCGAACGATCAATACGTACCGTTCAGCTTTGTCGGGCGCTCTGCCGCCTATCGAGGGCTTTCCAGTGGGTCAACACCCCCTCGTGGTTCGCCTGCTCAAGAGCATTTTAAACCTTCGCTCGGCGATGCCTCGGTATTAGCAGTCTTGGGGTGTGGATTCTGTTCTGGACTATTTGCGTTCTTTGCCGGATAATCAAGATCTCCCACTTCCTTCTCTCCTCCCCCGGTGGACCCCAAGTCGCCCAGAAGACTCTTAATCGCTTATCATCGGCCGTACTGGCCTGTGAAGTCGTGTTCTATTTCTCATTGGATCAAATGCATCTTACGTTGTACTGGCGTTGACACGTCTATTTCAGATGGCCAATTGGTCGGGTCCTTTTTCTTTCATACGTTTTAACTTTTAACTACTGCCCAACTTTTTCAGACAGTTTCGCTTTTCTTTTCCAAGACCAGGGGAACTGAGTATCTTTAGGGTTTCAGCTTCAGTAAACAAAGCATTAACGCAGAAGTGAAATAGAACAGGATGTGACGTTGTTTTTGTTTTCATGCATCAGCTGTACACGGTATTGGTTGAGGAATAAAGCATTGTTAAATCTCACTTCTGTGTTCTCATATAATCTTTGCCTTTACGTCGAGTGCTAGGCGCCCTTGCAAAATCCTCAATTATCACCTGTTCAAACGTTTTAAAAAATTCTTGTTATTTTCAGGAGCTTAAACCCAAGATGTCCTGATGATGGAACAGAATTGAAAAAGGAACAAGTAGGCTTCAACACTTATTTTTCATATCTATGTCACTGAACAAAGCCATTCAGAAGTTTATGATAATTCATCATTTGAGTAAAACTATAGAGAAGTTTATAATAATTCTTCATTTGAATAAAACTATACAGAGGTTTATAATGATTTATCATTTGAATAACACCATATATAGAGAGGTTTATAATAATTCATCATTTGAATAAAACCATAGAGAAGTTTATAATAATTCTTCATTTGAATAAAATCATAGTGAAGTTTATAATAATTCTTCATTTGAATAAAACCATAGAGAAGTTTATAATAATTCTTCATTTGAATAAAATCATAGTGAAGTTTATAATAATTCTTCATTTGAATAAAACCATAGAGAAGTTTATAATAATTCTTCATTTGAATAAAATCATAGTGAAGTTTATAATAATTCTTCATTTGAATAAAATCGTAGAGAAGTTTATAATAATTCTTCATTTGAATAAAACTATACAGAGGTTTATAATAATTCATCATTTGAATAACACCATAGAGAAGTTTATAATAATTCATCATTTGAATAAAACCATAAAGAGGTTTGTAATAATTTATCATTTGAATAACACCATAGTGAAACTTATAATAATTCTTCATTTGAATAAAACCATAGAGAAGTTTATAATAATTCATCATATGAATAAAACCATAGAGAAATTTATAATAATTCATCGTTTGAATAAAACCATAAAGAGGTTTGTATTAATTTATCATTTGCAGTAATGCATTAATCCGGATAATCCGTTTTAGGTATTTCCTGACGCGTTCACTCAACGTGAGCTGCGAGCACTGTCCTTACATTGTTCTAATCCTGGCTGTTCTTGGTATGGCACATACGTTGAACTAGAGGTGAGCATGTGGTCATAATTTGTGATAGGGAAACATGCAAACTTACTGCAATTGCGCAGTGGTGGATATAACAGGACTGCAACGTCATCGGCGTCAATCGAACGCTAATTGAGGCAGACCATATTCATACATTCTGTTATGCAAGGCTAATTGGTCGCGTCGCGTAGCGACAGCAACCTATAGTTTCAGCTTGGTTTTTTTATTATTATTTTCCTCTCGGGTTGATCCCCAGCGTCTCTAGTTGCAGGCCATATCACCCTAATCGGGAACCTGCGCACAGGTAAGTTGCTAGTTGGTTGGGTCGCGTATATATACAACTGCACACGCCGAGCACAGTAGGCGTCTTGTTTCTATTGAAAGCGAAACTGTTTTCAAAAGAAATAGCAGGCATAACAGAGTATCTGAATACGGTTCCCCTCAATTAACGTTCGATCGACGCCAATCTGCAACGTGAGATACTTTTTGCTTTGATTTCGCTGTTCTTCTGCCGAAACGCGTCTTCGTTGATCGATGCCTCGTGCTGCGCGGTTATAACAAGGAAAGTTAGTGCAAAAGAAACTTTCGCATAATGAAGTCAACGTGGAAAACTTTCTGCTTTTAAGGTCATGAAATCAAACGATCACGTCCAGCATTGAAAGCCTGATGTTACACGAAGTATGATTGAGCCAATCAAACTTAATGTAGCATCAGACGTTCCGCATTTGACGCTCATATGATATCAAACGATGACTTCAAACGTGCAAAGCAAAAAACGGTGCTAAAATGAAGTTTGAGTTTTTTGTTTAGTTTTACATCAGGCTTTCTCCGTCTGACGTCGTCGTTATTAAATGGTCGAAATTTAAAAAATTATGTCATAAATATATTTTGATGTAGGGTCATTTCCAAGTGTGTGAACATGCTCAGATCAACTGTGTTTATGCCCAATGTAAGATAAAGTTTCAACGCTCTTATTTGGGTGAACATTTGAAAAAGGAATGTGAATATCGCAACGTGAAATGTGAATATTGCCACAAAGACATTGCGTTTGCTTCTCTTAAGGTGAAGTTTGAAAAATTAATATTTTTATATTTTGCATAAATTAAACTGTGCTATCGCTTTTAGTTGAACAAACAAGTGATTTGTTTAGGATCATGTTGGTACGAGTTGTGAAGGAGCGCCCGTGATTTGCAAGTTCTGCAAGCAAACGTTTTTGAGAAGAGACATTGAAAGACACGAACAAGTTGGGTGTGAAGAGGTTCCAGGGCAATGCGAATTTCAGGCCGTAGGTTGTAATCGTGACAAGGTGAGAACTTGATTTCCTTCTGTAATTACACTGGATATTTAACAGTTGATCCTTACAGGACCTCTAGGAAAACAGTTTAGAACTGATAGAGCTATATCCAGCATAAATAAAGTGAAATCAATTTAATGTATCAATGTAGTTCCGTGTATTAAGACTGGATCAATAAAAGGTGATAGCTATTCAGGAAAACAGTTTAAAACTGATAGAGCTATACCCAGTATAAATAAAGTGAGTTTAATTCAGGTTTTCGCCTGTTGTAACCCTTGATCGAAAAGAGATGATCCTAACTAGACCTCTAGGGGCAAGAGTTATATAGTAACTGATAGAGTTATCCAGTATAAAATGATAAAGTTGTTTTAGCATAGGTTTCCTCCAAAAGTAGCACGGGGTAAATAGGAGATGAGTTTAACTTAACGTTTAAAAAGAACAGTTTAGAACTGATAGGGCTATCCAGTATAAAGTTTTCTTGATTAGTTTTCTTCTCTTGATGCTGGGTGAAACGAGATCATTCTTATTTTTGTATTATTGCATATATTGTAGACTTTGAAACGAAGGGAATTACGCCAGCATTTGAATGATGGTTTGATTGATCATGTCCGTCTCTTGCTTCAGTTTTTTCTCAACAAGGTTTCCCAACTAGGAAGTTATGTCCCACGACCAGAGTTTTCAGGAATCATTCAAAAAATACGCGATGATATTGCTGAAGTTCGGTCAGGTTTGGCTGAAAAGTTTGTCATGTTGGTCGGAAAGTTGACTGGGTTGGAGAGACGTATTGAAGGTTTGGAGTCGGGTGGTGGTGGCCATGCGCGAAGGAGCGATGAAATCCTTGAGCTGAAGGCTAGTATTCAGAACAAGACTACTGAAATCAACAGCTTACGTGAAAAAATTCGAAGTTTGGAACGAGAATTGAGAGAAATAGATCCACAAATTGTGAGGATGCGAAGCAGAATGGATCAAAATGAGGAGTCGCTTGCCCTCAATACAGTGAAAATCGCCGATCTGGAGTCACAAAGAGGACCTCGTGCACAGCAGATGATCCATAGCTACAATGGTACTTTATTGTGGAAGATTGACGGCTACCAGCGAAAGCGTCAGGATGCTATCAATGGAATAAAGACGGCCTTGTATAGTCCACACTTCTACAGCGCTCAGTATGGTTATAAATTGTGTGCAAAGATTTACATGAACGGAGATGGATTTGGAAAGGGATCGCACTTGTCGCTGTTTTTTGTTGTCTTGAAGGGTGATTATGATTCTCTTCAAACCTGGCCATTCCAGAAGAAGATTACAATGATGCTCTTAGATCAAGGTAACGGTGATCACATGGTAGATGCGTTTCATTCTGATCCTCAAAGTTCTTCTTTCCAACGCCCAAAGTCTGATATGAATATAGCCAGTGGCTCACCACTGTTTATGCCAATTGATAGTTTAAATAATCGTCAGTATATCAAAGAAGATGTCATGTTCATTAAGATTATCGTGGATTAAGAACTATGAAATCGAAAGCTATCGGTAAACTCGTTTTGAAGTGTGAGGATGGCTGGAAGTTCTGGGATTTACCATTGAAAAAGCCGTAATTGTCCCGTGAGCATTTTAGGTTCTCTTCTACTTTTCACTTCCTTTCACTTTCACTTTTATTAGGTCATTTAACTTCCTATTTTATCTTCTTTTTGTTTATCTTATGAGTTCCAATTACTCATTTTGCCGTATTTCTAATGTGTTCTTGTCATTTTCCAAATGCATGTGGAATTTTTACATCCCCATGCACATGGTGACCTTGGTTCTGCGTCTTGGTTTAAGTTGATGATGTTTCTTTTCAGAAATTGATGGTCTTCCTATTGACGGGAGCGCAGGTTGGATTAACCAATAGTTTCGTAATTCTTGTTCTTGATACAATTTTTTTTCTTACAATTCCCTACAATTTCCAGGAAATGATCCTCGTGGTAAAGATTGCTATCCATTTAGGTGGTATTGCCTTAACCTTAGCGCATATTTTTTCGCCTTCAATTATCAGAGTTCTAATTCATTTGCCAAGGAAGCACTTTCGTAAATTCAATGTGACTTTTTAATGGTGGAAGAGCTCTTCTCCAAGTCCTATGTGGCTTTGCTTGATAACTCGCTTGGTTCGACTGTCACTTCCGTTTTTCAATCTCAGGTGAGATTCACAGTTCGTAGTCTTTACGTCGTGCTGGGTCGGTATCAAGTGGCGTGGCACTTTTGGAGGCAATTCGGGATAGGATCATTGTTTATCTTGATTGTGATCCGATATGACTTTTAATAAGCGTTCAACTGACGTTCCACAAAACGACAAGCCCAACTTCAAAAAACATCTAATTGAAAATAAACATAATTGTTTTAACTCAAGGGATATACCTCGGAATTTGTGGATTGTTAGTAACAGACCATTGTAAACAGTTTAGTTATACGTTGCAAACTGAATCGATAAATAGCACGTGAATAATATTCCGATTTGTTTTGGTAAGCGCAAGGGACACCGTAGAAATTGGTAAGACTTATCAATTAATTAAAAGAAATTGGTAAGACATGCAGTCCAATGTCCACCCATATTTCTTAATACTTAAGACTACAAATTTACTCAAACTTCAAATATGACTTGCATGCACAGAATATTTGAAGATTGCACACCTCAAAAATGAATCGACTGAGTTAATAACCGTCTGTATACTTAAGCCTTAAAATAGCCATTTCACAGAAATAGTATACGTGAGTGTTTAACTTTAGCAATAGTTAAAACTTCATAAACAACAATTTCTGCGGTGTTGTTGCGGGCGGGCAACATTCCTTGGAATCACCAATTTTAGCCTATTCAAAAGTAATACTTGAATAAGTTGTTTTTTTTAGTGTAGGTAGCTATTTTAAATTTTATTATAGGGCGATTTTAGAATTGTATTCTTTTAATTGAATTATTTTAATTGTAGAGCACTTTTTTAAAGATAAATTAAGCGTTATATTTGAATAATCATTAAATCATTATTATTGTTATTGATAATAATTTCAAGGTTTCGTTTTTTAGTCATTGAAAATACATTGTATACAGGGAGAGAAACTTTTCTTACCTAAGATGTTGTAGGACCGGCATTGTACATGTGTACATCTGTTCGATTAAGTTTAGATTGAATTGGGGTAAGAATGTATTTAATACATGTAGATTTTGGTCCTATTTTAATAATATCGCTGCTATTTCGCCGTTTAACAAGATGTGGTGTTTGGACGCGTTGACAAGTCGTAGTTTGCACAGGATTGAAGATTTAATATAACTATGTATAAGCGCGAATTCCAAAGGCAAAGTGTAAGACAAAGCGAATGTATCATGCGGTTTATTTACATTTCTGAACAATTGAACTTCTATACTTTTTAAAGTACGATGTGCTTCTGAATTTCGCGATCGAGCATTTAGTTTCGCGAGGCATCTAAATGAATAAAATTATGAAGAACTGGTCCCTAACCGCTGCTAATCTTCTTCTTTCTCTTCTTCTTCTTCTTCTTCTTTTTCTTCTTCTTCTTCTTCTTCTTCTTCTTCTTCTTCTTCTTCTTCTTCTTAGAGGGCGACGCTTTTTCAAAAAACCCTAAGGCTCTAGCATTACTTGTTTGATCGGAATGAAACTTGGCACAATTATTCTAAGCAATATTCCGCATCGATTGACGAGTTCGAATTTTTACTTTTGACCTTTGAAGCAAGTTACAAGTAATTCTTAACCATATTTGCAGCAAATAATATATACATATCATTAATATTCAGCCTATAAGTAAACGCAAACGATTAGAAATACATTGTCCTCTCCGTTGTGTAAATACAATTATAAGATAACATGTATATATATAACGTGTTCTGATTGGTTGAAGTCCGTGTTTGGATCAGGCCATCCAAACACGGAAATTTCGCGGGAATTTAAAAACAAATTTATTATGGTTTGTTATTTTATAAAAAAATTACTTAATGACTTCGTGTTTGGATGGCCTGATCCAAACACGCGGGAATGTTGCGACAGTTAAGAAAAATATCACAGTTAATCCCGGTAAAGCTGCTCACGAATGTGGACGACTAATTATGATTAATTATAAGTTTTATTTGTTTATCAAGTCATAATCTTGGAGCTCTTGAGCGTTTAACGATTTTCACAAGATCGAAACTCGATCACGCAGTTCCTGGTCCACTATAGTACGATCGTACTTGTTTATGTTCAGAAGCTTTATATTGAAGACTGGCACGTGCGCCGGAGCTAACGCCAGAACAGGCGTCTTGTTTCTGATGAAGATGCTGCAGAATCACCATACGGAACGTTACTTCCTGGTTGGACAGGTTTCAACATTCTTCTAAGGCAATCAGCAATACCACCAATGTCTCGAATCAGGTACCTACCAATAATTGATGGATCCCCCAATGAATACTCGTGGATATTGCAGATAAGTTGTCCGCACAAGAGCACATCGTCCTAGTTTTTGATGAAGCAATCTACGCTAAGATTGAACAGATTAGGTAAATACTCTAAACTGTCGAATGGCATTTTTACCAAACTGATACCTTCTTGAGTTATTGGAGTTTTCAATGAGCCTGTTTCATTGCATACCTCTCGCTTCCGTGCATTCCATTCTTTGTTTTTATCTATTATCAGGTGGAAAGATGCGACTTTTATGAAGAGGTTTGTTGTCAGGCTAGGCGAATTTCATGCGACAATGTCGTTCCTGAGTTCAATAGGGAACATGTTCAGGGATGCTGGGTTACAGGTATATTAGAGCATATTTTCTCCATACCGTAACTTCCTTGTATCACAATATTTAATTGTAAATTCCTGAGATTAGGGCAGGATAGCTATATCGGTTAATGTAACAAATGTCTGTAATATTTTTAGGACTAATACTTATCGAATCTGATGTTGTTGGACAAGCTAAGGACAAATTAACCAAGCTAAGGTGTATTAATCGGAAAGCATTATAATCGAATTATTATATGGTACGCGGTCTCGTGACTAAAATGGCGTGCGCTGATTGGCTCTTTGCCGGTCTGGAATCCCCCAGTATTAGACCGTTGCGGTAGTAACGGTCCAACTCTCGTACTTTTGAACAAAAACAAGCTTGCACTTTTATTTTTGACACGAAAAATATCGACGGATAATGGACGAAGAAGAGCATTATTTGTTACATGTGAATATTATATTTATTCATCTTTGATTTTTGTTTATATTACTGTATCATTCTTTTTTAACGAGTAAAAAACAAAGTTTTGAAAGCCACTTCAGTGCTTGCTTGTCGACTGGCTGGCGAAAGAGCCGGCAAGAATGCTGCAGCGCATTGTACAAATAAATAAACTAAATACTGTATGCCATATAATAAATCCCTTATTAACCTCGGTCGTTTATGTACAGACCTCGCTATCGCTCGGTCCGTACTGTCAAGACCTCGGTCTGATATTTTTCTAGTACAGACCTCAAATTCGGTTAATAAGTGGTGTGTATGCATCGCCAAAAAGTAGTGAGGGAAGCTCTGCATAGACTTCGCTTCCAAGCATTTTGGGATAGCCTCAGTTCTGAGGATTACAATAATGTCAACTCAGTCGCGTCTGACCTGCTGAACAATTTTCCAGACGAGAAATTTCAGGATAGCCTTACAGCTGAACCATTCTCACAAATTGTTGATAAATACGATGCATTGTGGAGTACTTACCTTGAAATGACAGGCATATTACTTCAATTTGTAAGGTGAGAATATTAATCGGCTAAGTTCTTTCAGTCTTTCACTGTATATAAGAACTGCCTTCAATTTTGAAAATTTGAGGTTAAAATATATTTAATCATGAGGCATGAAACAACTGGGTTTTTTGGGAAATAAGTTGTATCGACTCCTATAGAGCTACACAAGAAGGAAATTGGGAACTTCATCTCTCAATTATACGTTCAATGCTAACATCACTAACATAGTACTTTGGATGTGATCGAGGGAATTATTGCCGCTATGGAACGGCATATTGGCTTGAAATGACAAGATTACCAGATACACGTCCAGGTAACACTCGCATCCGTATGGTTTTCTTTTGCCTTATTTTCCAATCAAAATTAGGCTGGTATACACAGATTGGTGTGTCGGTCTATTTCATTAATTCTTTAAATAGATACTTGTCTCGACTTATTGGGAGATCTACGTCAGCAATGGACTGCGCAACGCCAACAGAATCATGGATTTTCCTCCATCGCGTGTGACATGACTATTGAGCAAACATTAAATAGAGATTCGAAAACTACGGGGGGTAAAACCTAATTGATTTCTAGTTCTCCAGTGGCATGTCCACCGATCTTAGGGGTACATACTTTTTTTTCAAGAATGGTTTGAATACATTGAACAGGGGTGCTGTGCAACGATGGATTCTTTCTCAATCTGATAGATCTGCTATCACAAGAGAATGCATGAAGATGGCCGGCATTGACACAGTTGAAAGGTCCCGTGATATTAATTTATTGCTTTTTCATATAAGTCAACGTCGTTTTAATGTTTATACTTCGACTTTATAGGAAAAGAAAGGAATTAGACATGCCACAAAGAACTCGCCATGAGAAAGATGTCTTGGGTATAGTGAACACGCTTCAGAATATGATATTATCCTTTTGAAACGGATAATGATATAACAGAAATGATTCACTTGTCAAGTGGTTTAGTTCACAAGAAGTAAAGAATGACTTACTAACAACGAAACAACGAGGAGAAGAATGCGTGACTGCTTTTCTAAGAGACAGATTACTAGTTCGAAAGCCTGATATTTTTTTCAGTAACGATTCCCAAGCCAGTTAGTTAAGCAAAAGGTGTTGAAGCCACCCTTAAGAATGACCGTAACCTATTCGCTCGAATGCTCTTGCTGGCACAAAGTAGAAATGTTGACATGAAGGAAGTTCTAACTTATTCCTTGGGTCCATTTCCTTTATCTCTTTCAACCGGGATGGGCACTTTGCACAAAACCCAGAAAAGCAAGTTGATGACATCAATTGAGTCAAGTGCTCAAGATCACATAGTTGACAATGTTCCGGCTGGAGTACATACGCATCATTTATGTTTAGCGGTATTACAAGTATTGAAGGTGCACCTCTCACGATTCGAGAAATAGCGGCATTATCTTGTGATCATGCAAATCACATGCAAATCATGTGTTTCAATCATATGGAAACATTTTGATAAAGAGCCCCGATACAGTCGTCTTCATTATTATGCTTTACTTTTGCCATATACTCCAATGCGAATTGTTCTTTGAGACCGGTATGAATGAGAAAACTCGTATCATAAATGTACGATGTGTTCAGCAGCAGATTGGTGTGAAAGAAGGCAAAGCGTTAGTTGGATTTCATGCATATGCCGGGGTAAGCAATAATTAGTCTGCTAATGTTTATAATTCAGCTAAAATATATGAATAGTTCATATCATCACCAGCAAAATAAAGCAATCTGGATAAATATTCGTTTCTTTACCACCTTTAGGGTGTGATTCCACTAGCTCGTTTTATGGTCGAAGTAAAATATCAACCTGGAAATTGGTTTCCAATGACGAAACAGCTCTTGATACACTTGCTCGCCTAGGAAATGATTTTACAGTAGATGATCGCATCCAGAAAAGCATCGAGTCATTGACATGTATGCTATATGGGGCTAAGGAGACCAAATCTGTCAACGAAGCAAGGTATAATTCATTCAGAATGGGCAAATTCTCTGATGAATCCTTGCCTCCAAACGAGGACTGTCTTCTACAGCACATCCAACGGGCAAATTACCAGTCAGCAGTATGGAAAAGGGCAACAACTCAGATCATTGATGCGCCTTCACCTACTGTTTATGGATGGAAAATTGATGAGGAGGGAAATATTGATGTGGTGTGGATGACGAAGGAATGTGCCCCAGATGTGCTACTCAACAAAGATTGCAATTGTAAATGTAAGGCAGGGTGTTCAACCTTAAGATGTTCTTGTAAAAAGTCAAACAACAAGTGCAATGAAATTTGCCAGTGCGTTGGGTGCACAAATTGCCCGAACGCACCGAGCGAAAGCTTTGAAGATGATTCGGAGGATGATTTGGGAAGTGATTTGACCAAATTTTTGTCGTGATTTGATTTCGTTTCCCAGCCATGTTTTAGCCGTTCTAAAATATTTCCACATTTTATCAACTGTACTAACTTGAATGTGAAGCTAATTGTCACAATTGCCGTATAAAAAGCGTTATTCTGGGCAATCATCCATATTTTCTGATTCGATTGTTTATGCGCCTACATTTCGTGAGTACGTCGTATTACTTCAAGTAACGAAGTCGAAAGTTCAAAGATACCGAAAAATTCAAAATGGCGCTCAGTTGATGAAAATAGCGGACTTTGGCCGGTATCATGAAATGATGAAAAAGCTGCGTGGTTTGACGTGTGGGAACAAACATATTTGAAATCAGCATATTTCATTTACCTAATTGCCGATTAAATATGTTAGCACCGCGGTAGGGGCGACGGAATTCGATTTCTAGCCTTATAAAGGTAACGGCCTAATAAAGGTAAAAGTTGCATGCCGCAACTACCGTAATTACTCGAATAAACGCCTCCCTCGAATAAACGCTGCCCTCAAATAAACGCCGCAACCTTTTCGTCATTGCGGCGTTTATTCGAAGCATTTATTTATAACCACAGTTCAATTTTCCTATATAATTATATAAATAGAAAAGACACATAACTTTTATACTTAGTTTTTTTTGAGGATTGATTGTATTGGTTAAATTGGCGTTTAAATTACACACTGAAACTCAGAGTTGTTACGAGTTTGCAATAAACGCCTCCCTTGAATAAACGCCCCCCTTGAATAAACGCCGCATCTTAATTGCTAAAAATTTAATAAACGCCGCGGCGTTTATTCGAATAATTACGGTATATAGAGATCGGTGGCTGATACTTGCTGCCTAAAAATAGGAATGTGCGTATTGTAAAATTGTAAAAATTTGGGCATTTTTAGGAAATCTGCTCTGAGCTTCGGGTGAAGAAGATGTGATTGGTCATAGGCAGCCCAATGGCGAATGGTTTTATTTGAAATAAAAGTGCACTAAAACATTGAAAATTAGAACGAAGCTATTCGTATTTTTATTAAATTGAACATGTATCATTTATTCATGCTAACTAAAATCCTGACATCCCGTATATTACGCAACGGGCGACTCGCGTACCTGACAGTGTTATATAGCTCACCAGTATGATGCTATATGATACAGTATGATACGGTATGATACGGTACGATACATTATGATGCAATATATTGTGGACGAATGAACATGGCGGACGTGAAAATTTAGCTCCGATAAATTTCTTTATAAGATTTCAACATATTCAACTTAATAAGCTGTCTAATAAGCTCCAAACTGGTACAAGAGTTATAAGTTATTTGATTTATGCTATGGCGATAACAAACAAGCTAAGTTTAGCTTGGAACGGGGACTATGAATCGTTGAAAAGGTTTGTTTATGAAACCTTCAAACTTGATGGTGTTTGGTCTCAACCCGGCGGGGATAGAAAGCTTTTCACAACCGAAGATTCGACGATCCTCTGGAGAAAGAGTAAGAACTTGTTGTCCTTTAATGGATCGAAAGCTAACAACTTCAAGAAGGAATTATGTAAGCATATATGTGAGTGTGAAGACGACATCTCAGAACCTGTGTCTGTACATGACATGGGCAAAGTTCATTCGGGTGAATCGCCTGATTTCTACACTGATATAGAATGTATGAAGCAAGATCAACAAGTGAATAGCGAGGCAATTCAATCATTGTCGAACTCTATCTTGCACATAACTTCAGTAATTTCAGAATTTCAAGATTTCATCAGGAAGAATGAAACAAGCCTTACAGAGGGGTCTTCGACAAAGTCGATTAACCATAACGAAGAAAGAGAAAATGTAAATCAAGTTATTGCCCAAGACTGTATTGAAACTGACGCTAATGACACCTTAGTGTCAGATCAATTAAAAAATTCTATAGGAAGCAATGAAGCAGGATTCACTAGTCAGTCGGATGAATCTGACGAGACTCTTACTGATAGAGAAGTTGGCTGTGTTGTGGCGCGTCGAGAATCCTATGCCCAAGTGGTTAAAAGGCATCCAAAACCCCGTAAACCTAAGGAAAAACCAAATATGGTTAATAACCCTGAAGATACTTTACTAAGTGTCCCATTACAAAGAAATACTGAAGGTGATGGCTTTATTGGGGTTGACAGAAGGCGGAAAAGAGTAAAGAAACTTTTCCTGTCTGGAATACACGAGAGCGTGCAAGAGAATCAGATCTTATCCTATTTAGAGCAACGAAATATAATACCTACTCACATTGCTCTGTTTCGAAGTCAACGAAGAGGAACCCAATCTGCTAAAATCCACATACCATCTTCAATGTGGTCTGAAGTTCAATCGGAAGGTTTCTGGCCAAGATTTGTCAAATGTAATCTGTGGCAATCGAAAAGCACTAGAAATTCCATTAGACGTGAAATCAAATTTAACACCACCCATCATGGGAATTTTTCAACATACGTCTAATGGCTCACATTCCAATCAGATTCAATAATATTCCCGTTGTGATAACCCAACGTAAATATCGCTCACGTTTATCAAAGCGTAATACAGGAAACCTTGTTCCTGTGACATTGTCGGACAGTACTGAGGTAAATAACACACAAAGTATTCCTGTTAGAATAACAGAACAGAGACAAAGTTCACCAAATAACAATGTCAGAACGCATTGCGTTAATAACTGTATCAGAATCCACCCTGAAAAAGCACAACGCCCCCTGGATAATAATAGAGCTGTCCCTAATATTATGATGCTGAATGCAAGATCATTAGTCAATAAGGTAAATGAACTTGAAATCCTTAGAGATAAGTATATTGCTGACTTAATTCTTGTGACAGAAACATGGTTAAGAGATGTAATCCCTGATGAGGTTGTGAATGTTTCTGGTCTGAACATTATCAGAAAAGATCGATTGTGTGGTAGAGGTGGAGGGGTAGCAATATATGTCAATGAAAGTATACCACTAAAAACGCGTGATGATTTAAACGATCAACTGTTTGAATGCTTATGGATTACTATCCGCCCAAAGTGGTTACCAAGATCAATTTCAAGGATTGCAGTAGGATGCGCATACCTTCCACCAAACCTAAATGTATCTGAAATTGACAATTTCTATGATTATATCAACAACTGTTATGACCAGCTTTGTCTAGAAAGCCCACATACGGCAATTATTCTAGGAGGCGATTTCAATCCAGATAGTAATGGGTTCCAACAAAACCGTTTAAAGAGGCATTGTCATCTTAAACAAATTGTAACGCAACCTACCAGAAACAGAAACATCCTTGATTTAATATTCACTGACATGGCTGACTGTTACGAAACTCCGGAAATCCTAGCCCCACTGTCAACGTCGGATCATAATATCATCAGCTGGAAGTCCAAGTCTCATATTACGGAGAAAGGAACTACGATTAAAATCAAAGTGAGAAAAATCCGACAGCAGCAGTTAGAGAATTTCGAATCTCTACTAGCAAGTTATAACTGGTCTTCGGTTCTTTACACCTCCGACATCAATGAAAAAGTCAATACCTTTCTTCAGGTCACTGAGAATATGATTTCTGAATATTTTCCGGAAAAAACGGTTAAAGTTTATAGTAAGGATAAACCTTTTATGACAGCTAAAATAAAATCGTTGATTCTTAAAAGGAATATGGCTTTTAAAAATAAAAAAGTTGAGCGTGTGAAAAGTCTCAGAAGACAAGTCTCGGCAGAAATTCGGAAAGCGAAAATTGATTTCTACGAGAATAAAGTAAGTCCAAACTTTAAAAACAACCCTAAATCTTGGTGGAAACAAATGAAGGGCTTGATCGGCAAGAAAACTGCTAAACCAATAATGTTGGATCCCAATACTGGGTTTCAGATGGATGATAAGCAGTCTGCTCATTATATAAACGATTATTTTGCAAACTTAACTAAGAATTATCCGAAAGTGAACGAAAATTGGTTGGAATTTCAATGTATAGAGAATCTACCTCTAATTACTGTCGACCAGGTACAACGAGAATTGCGTAAAATTAACCTTAATAAAGCTCCTGGTCCTATGATCCCTCTCTGAAGATCTTGAAGATTTTTACAAAATATTTTGCTGTACCTTTGACCGAAATCTTTAATGAATCTTTTCAATCAAAAATTTTTCCTGAGATCTGGAAAAAATACAAGGTATCTGGAATCCCTAAATCTGTACCATGTACGCATGTTGAAGAGTTAAGACCAATTGCTTTAACTAGTGTCCTAGCAAAGGTTCAAGAATCTTTTGCTGTTCAGTGGATATATGAAGATACCGATGAAAAAATTTCTGATTCTCAATATGGGGGTCTACCACGATCATCGACAATTAATGCGCTGGTTAATTTAATACACAAGTGGCATAAATCATTGGATGAACTGCACAGTGATAAGAATAGTCTTTTTGGATTTCCGAAAGGCATTTGACCTTATCGATCATAATAAACTCTTAGAAAACATGCGAGAAATTGGTGTAAGACCTGCTCTGATCAAATGGTATGCATCGTACCTGGACGAGAGATCTCATTTTACACAGTTTGGAAACGAAGTATCTGATTTTGCGAATGTTATGGGAGGCGTTCCGCAAGGCAGTAAGCTGGGACCTATTGCTTTTGTGGTTAAAATTAATATGTTACCTAGTGTTATAGCAGAAGCTGTTGTAGGAAATGGAAATAATGATGTCGTTGTGGATGAAGATACGATTCTCTTCATGGACGATACAACGATTAGTGAGGCACTGGATGTTCACAATCATATCTCTGGCACGGAAATTGGTAATATACCCCAAAAAATTAATTCGGTAAAGAATTTTGCGGAAATTGAGAGAATGGAGTTAAACCCAAAAAGTGCAAAGAGATGATTATCGACTTTCGAAAGGATAGAACAGCTATTCCTGCAACAGAAGTCGATGAATGCATCCTAGAAAGAGTAAGCTCGTATAAATTACTTGGATTGTGGTTAGACGATGATCTAAAATGGAGAACAAATACGGAATACATTGTCAAAAAGGAAGCTAAACGATTATATCTTTTAAAAATTTTAAAAGGATATAATGCTCCGCGAGATGACTTGAAAACTATTTATACTTCGGCAATTCGATCAATCGTAGAATATGGAGCTCAAATTTGGCATGGGAGTTTGACAGAGGAACAATCTAGGGATATAGAGAGAATTCAAAAGCGTGCAATGAAAATTATATGCCCGGAAAAGAATTATGAACAAGCATTAACTGAATGTGGTATTAAAACTTTGGAAAGTCGAAGAGAGTTAATGTGCATAAACTTGATAAAGGATATAAAGGACCCTTCACATAAACTCAATGATTTGCTACCACCAACTGTAGGTAGAGCGCTTTAGAAATAGTCCTCTAGTATATGCGATTCGTAAGTACAATCTCAAAATTGATGATTCTTAACTATTTTATTAGTTTCTTAATATTTAAAATATAGCTTTTGTAATTTACTTCTAGCTTTGTAATATAGATTAGAGTATGAATTATTGTAATTCTAAAATGTAATATTTCTTAAATTATTTTTATGAACCTGTAAATCACATTGTAATTTAGCTGTCTAAGCTACTGTATGTGTATTTTTTAATAATAATAATAATAATAATAAATATGATACGGTGTGATACTGTATGATATAGTATGATACGGTATGATATTGTATGATACTATATGATGCTATATTATACGATATGATATAATATGATGTTATATGATACGATATGATACAGTATGATATAGTATGATGCTATATGATACAGTATGATACGGTAAATATTGTATGATACTATATGATGCTATATTATATGATATGATATATATTATGTTATATGATACGATATGAAACAGTATGATATAGTCTGATGCTATATTATATGATATGATATAATATTATGCTATATGATACGATATGACACAGTATGATATTGATATAGTACGATACTATATGATGCAATATGATACGGTGTGATACTGTATGATATTGTATGATACGGTATGATATTGTATGATACAATATGATGCTATAGTATACGATATGACATAATATGATGCACTATGATACAATATGATACAGTATGATATAGTATGATGCAATATGATACAGTGTGACACGGTATGATACGGTATGATATAGTACGATACTATATGATGCAATATGATACGGTGTGATATAGTATGATGCTTAATGATATGATATGATACAATAGATGTTTAAAAAAAGGGTGTTGTATGTATATTGGTGTATACTGAACATGGAATTATTACCGCCCGTTGCGTAATACACAGGATTTTAGTTAGCATGAATACTAAATGATACCTGTTCAATTTAATCAAAATACGGATAGCTTTGTTCTAATTTACAATGTTTTAGTGAACTTTTATTTCAAGTAAAACCATTCGCCATTGGGCTGCCTATGGATTGGTGTGGTGTTTTGTAACTTTGGTTATCAATACCCTGATGTTCTTCAGTATAAACTGCAAATTTTACAGACTGCAATCGCAGTGTTGGAAATATATAAAGGTGAGACCCTGTTAGGTGGTTAAAATTATTGAACATTCGTACGAGTTACAACATTTAGTAAATTTTGGTGTGATGCTGTACAATTACTGTAGTATGCACCCTAACTTCAGGTAGTATAGAAAACCAACATTAGCCAAAAATTTGAGAAAGTATATTAATATGACAAGAATGCTATTTTTCAATTTTCAGACTTTTTCATTTATTTTCAGACAGTATATTTGTTGTTGCCTCTTGGTGTAGTCGTAAGGAATGTGTAGCTATATCATAGTATATACAATGGTATAACAGTTTACCTGGTCAACTTAAGTGGTTCAAGCTACTTGCTCTTCAAAATAAATTGTAACAAAAAGAGATACAACTTATAGGAGACCAAATAGCTGAGCCTGGTGAAGGCAATGTGATAAAAAGAGCATTTTAGTGCTTAAAAATTTCAACATTTCTGCAATCTGATTCACAGTTTACATAAACAGGTATGGCAGCAATTTATGAACTTTTCATATTTACTTGTTGTGTAGTTTCAGTTTCATACTCTTCTTACTAGTTGAAATAATGCCTGGAACAAAGATTGCAAATGAAGATCGACAGACAATCAATCAAAAATTGATTTGCTCCTATTGCAATTTGCTATTGTCAACTCCAATGCAGAGTGCCTGTGGTCATTTCATGTGTTCCTCATGTGTTGACACTATTCTAGTGTATGTTATATTCTTTTATTCCTAAGGCTTTACTGTAGGATATCATTTTTCTACACACCCTGTGTACCTGCTACCTCTCTAGCTGTCTTGCCAGGCAATCAGCATGCTTTCATTGCAAATGTATCCCTGTTTTAATTCAGACATAGCAATGGGTCAGGACCTCTCTAATGTTTAGTGTTCTAGGTGTACGTTGATGGTGAGAATTGGTAATTGCGGATACTGTCAAAATGGTCATCTTTCCATTGTGTGTACTTATGATTCACAACCCACAACACCCAACATATATACAAACAGTTTTCTCACCTAATTCCTATATTTTGGATATATCCTTATGTTTCCTAGGAGCTCAGACGCAAGATGCCCTGTTGATGGCACAGAATTGAATGTAAATGTAAGTTCATTAAGCCCACTTTTGTATGTGTCTTACCAATTACCAAGCAATTTGCTATTATATATTTCAAAAATACCATATCTCTCCTATATAGAATATACATTTTCATGACAAAATACTAAAATAAGAATTTGGTTATCTTGTTTTAAAGGTTGGGCTATAATTTCTTTCAGATATTTCCCGATACATACACTGAACGTGAAATACAAGCATTGTCCTTACATTGTCCCAATGAAGGCTGTGTTTGGCATGGCACGTATGCTGAACTGAAGGTACTAATTGAGCTTAAGACATGAGCTTGCAGTTAAAAATAAATTGGTGGAAACAAAAAATTCACTCACACTCCATGTAGTTCTGGTATTAATTGCGTGGAGCAAAAGATCTCTTTATTTCACACTGTTAAGTAGACCTTAATTGTGCTTGAAAACTATTAAGTTCAGGATCTTCCTTAGGTTTTTGCTTTGAAAATTATGTCCTCCTAAATTTAATTGCAAGGTTTTTTATTTATAAGATCAGTCAACCTACTTTAATGGAATATCACTACTTTAATGGAAATAAATACACTAATTGACAGAGAAATGTCAATAATTTCAGAAATATTGTTTTTTAAGTGATGACAACAGACTTTGCAAGTCCTTATATTTGATAAGTTATGATAAAATTTTTTGATGTCATTTCATCAAATTTTGATGTAGCTGCATTCTGAAGAGTGTGAACATGCTCTGATGAGAAACTGTGTTAATTCAAAATGCAAGATGGAAGTGAGATTCCCTCAGTTGAATGACCATTTGACAAGCGAATGTGAATATCGGAAAGTGAAGTGTAATTACTGCCAGAAAGATGGTACATTTGCTTCTATTAGGGTAATTTTGAGAATATTTGAATACCGTAACTTGCATGAAATTGTGTTATACTATCCAATTTTTTAATAAGTTGGGTACTAACATCAAGTACTTTTATTAAGTATATATAGGGTTGCAATTGGTGCAATCTTTGTAAACATGTAAAAATCATCATGTTGATGCAAGTTGTTAAAAACAGGAGTGAACAATGTTGTGCTGCACCCTGTGAACAGTATTGTTAACAATGTTGTTGTTGAAGCTTATTGAATCATCAACGTTGTTGCAACTTGTTACAACAACATTGCATCAACATTGATGATTCCACAAGCTTTAACAACATTGTTGTACTGTTCCCAGTGTGCAGCACAATATTGCGATAACTGCTCAATTTTTGCATCCTGATGCGACAACCTGATCAATTTTTGGCCGTGTAGAGAGACTTTCAACCTTTTGAAAATTTTTCGTATTAAAATTTATAATATAATGATGATATTTTTTATTAATCATGGTCTTTGTTATATATTAGATAGGTTTTAGCTTAGATGAATTCTTAGATGGTGTGAAAAACAGTTTTATGCTAAAGTGTCATTGAAAATAATATTTATTTAACCTGTAATTAATAACTTGATGATCTAGTCTTGCTAATTAACCTTATTTCTTAAATTATGTATTTTTATCCCACCTTTAGGATCATGTTAGTAAAGACTGTGCCAAAGCACCTATCACTTGTGAGTTCTGCAGACAGAAATTTGTAAGAAAGGACATTGAAAGGCACAAAGAATCATGTGGGGATGTCATAGTCGAATGTGAATACCAGGCCGTGGGTTGTAATGAAAGGGTAAGAATTTGTTGTAGGGACATTCACTGTCCAATGGTTACTGTATTTGGTTACAGTAGTGTATAGCAACATTATTGTTATTTATTAGCTATTTTAGGCTAAAATTTGGCCAAGTGACAGTCCTCAAAAAGGTTGTCAATAGCAAATATTAAAATATGTATTCTTTTATATATAAATAAATAAATCCTTTTATAAACTTTATAAACTTTCTAATGATTTGCAAATAAATGACCAGCAAATACTGTACTAAAAGTGGACCGGCCACGTGATTAATAAATGTGACTTATTTTTCCGTGTTTATAACTGGCTAGTAATTTAATTACCAATTACTATGACCAACAATGAACCTAAAAAAGTTTAAACAGTTATCAAATATTTTTTTTCTATAATTTCTAGACTTTAAAACGAAGAGAACTAGGCCAGCATTCGAATGATGGCTTTCTGGGCCACCTCCATCTTTTGTTCCTGTTTGTTTGTGATTTGGTTTCAAAACTGGCGACCTACGTCCCCCGACTAGAATTTACACAAACAATACAAATTCTCCGTGACGAAATGGCCGACGTTCGCTCAGGTTTATTTGCAAGATGGAACATCACTGGCGAGCAGCCTATCATCAGCTACAATGGAACCTTGATATGGAGGATTGAAGGTTATGAGAAGAAGCGTCAGGCTGCTGTCAGAGGATTGATGCCAGCCTTGTATAGTCAACATTTCTACAGTGCTCAGGACGGGTATAAGATGTGTGCAAAGCTGTACATGAACGGAGATGGATTTGGAAAAGGGACGCATTTATCCTTGTACTTTATCGTGATGAAAGGTAAGTGAAAATTAGGACTTTGTTGTAAAAGTATGGAATACAGCAGGATATTTCAGTTTTCATAGGTGAGAAATACTGGATCTAGTGACTATGTAATATTGAATATCATTCTTGCTCAGAGGTCGTTGTTGGTTTTCTTCGGGTACTCCACTTTTTGGCCACAGAGAGATTGTTAACTTTGTGTTTAATTCTTACTATCGGTGCCATTCAAGGTGAATATGACTCCCTTCAAACCTGGCCATTTCAGAAGAAGATTACGATGATGCTCATGGATCAAGGTAACGGTGACCACATGGTCGAGGCGTTTCACTCTGATCCTCAAAGTTCGTCTTTCCTACGCCCCCGATCTAACATGAATATTCCATCAGGTTCACCGCTTTTCATGCCAATTGAGGATTTAGGTAATCGTGAGTATATCAAAGACGATGTCATGTTCATTAAGATTATTGTGGACTAGGGTAAGACCAGGGGTGGCAGAACATATTTTGTTTTAGGTGGGGCTAAATTTTAAAAATATCATTTTGTCCAGTCATATAGCCAGTCTGACGATGTAGACACCCTATGCTGTAATAATTTGGTGTTCATTGACTTTGAAAGACTATTTGGTGTGCATAGACTTCAAAACCGAAATAAATCATTATAATGGCCTATAGAATTTGCATCAAGCTGGACTAAAGGCGCTGTTTCATTATGCAATTCTCCTTGCAACTTGAAATGCAATTATAATTTTTGAGGGATGTAATTTTGTAAATTGTGTTCGAAATGTATCGAAACGAATCGTAAGAAATGTTCGTATTTGACAACTTTAGATACCTCACGAGTAGAATTGCATTCAAGTTGCAAGGAATGTTTCATGACTTGTAACATCGCCTTAAATTGTCAGGCTGGTTACGCTACTGGCTTTGTCTGACCCGCCATAGCATGGTTAAAAAACAGAAATATGAATGTTGTCTTTACTCCAGGTTAAACATGTTCTATTATAAATTTTTCACTTGTTTAGGCCTCCAAAGATTGCGCTGGTAAATTAATGAATATTTTTATGGTTAAGGTTTTATTTAATAATTTGTGAGGAATTAGCAGTATGAGACATGTAAAATCCTGAAAGTTCCTTCCTGTTGCTCAAAAAAGCAAAAAGTAACTCCAGGTTGCTCGAAACCACAACAGTCGGTCAAATAATATTTTCAAAAGTTTCCAAGCACAATCTATAGGGGCATATACACTTGTTTGTGCCATTTGTCCGTATAAAATTCAAAATTGTTACATGTTTTTTTACATTCTCCCCTCTGCTTTGCCTCCACCATTTACTTTGTTCCGCCTCCCATGGGCGTCGATCGAACGTTTAGGGGGACTCTTATTCCATAATTTATTTGCATATAGCTTTCCTCGCACAGGGATGGGATTGGCGAGCAGAGCGAAACAAGGAACTTTTAAAAAGAATGTACAATTAATAATGAACTCGACCCCATAGCGAAACACTTTTCTAAGGAAATTTCTTTAGAAATGGAAACCCTTGGCTGATTCCTATAGAAAGTTAAATTTTGTTCGAGAGAAATTAGACGAGCAGAATATATGAATATGGTCCCCCTCAATTAACGTTCGATTGACGCGAATGCCGCTTCCACTGGATGAAGCGATAAACTAGTGCAGCTCTCTGCAGCTCTAATATAATCTCGTGATCTATACAATTGATAGTATGAAACTTAAAGTCCCGGGCCGGTTGTATCAAAAGGTCGTTATCTTTAACTATGATATTATCTTTAGCTAATCGCTGATCACTGTAGTTAAATCCTTAACTATGATTAGTTAACTACACGATTTAACTGCGTTGCACAAAACGTAGTTTGTCGGATGAAAAACTAATCGCGTGGTTAACTTGTGTGGAGCTTGCGTGCATGGGAGTGTTAAACAGAACAATAACATGAAGTTTCCTTATAATATTGACTGCTGCTATAGATTTTGAACAAGACTACAAAAATTGACTGTATTTCGATCGAAAATATTATTAAAAAATGCAATAAAACCAGGAAAAAGTTTAAAAAAACGCGAAAATAATTCAAGGAAAAGGCGCTATGATATATAAAAAGGTCCTTTTGAGTCAAACAACAGGTTGCAGATGAAAATGGAGTCTTTGCTGTCAACCGGCGTCTTTCGAAGCAAAAATGCGGTCTGTTGCTGCCTAAATTACGAAAATTAAAGTATGTTGAAAGTTTACAAGCTTCGAAGGGGTCTTTCTGAGTGGATAACGGTTGAAAACCTTGTTATGTGTTGATTTTAATCTTTTCACACTCCTGAAAAGTTCAACACGCCATTTTTAACTATGTTTTCGATGCCCTTAAGGATAGTTAACTTTAACTAGACTTTAACTACAGGGTGTATAAAAAAAAACGCAACACTTGATATTCATGAATATCCTCTTTGTTCTACAACACAAAAGACGTTTGGCCCCTGGAATGCGAGAAAGCTTGTAATCATATTCTAGCGGCACAATCGTCGGTAAACAAAGTCGGGTGCGTAAACCAACGAGCTGAATTGAAAGTATTTAACGAGTAAAATTTTATTTAAAATTTATTTTAAGGTCGACAGTTAGCATTCAAGTTATCATGCACGACAATAAAAACTCGTTCGGTTGTTAGCTGTACCATTATTATAGTTTAGCTGATTTGACTATTAGCAGTTGAACTGTACGATTAGAAGCCATTTTAAAATCCCAGGGGCATAAAATCTATTGAGCTTATGAACAATATTAATTTTAGAATATTAAGTGGTTGCGTTTTTTTTTTAGACACCCTGTACAGTTAACGGCTAACTACGTTATTATACAACCGGCAGCCGGCTTAACAACGTGATTAAAGTTAACTAAAAGTTTTACGGCTCTATACAACCGGCCCCGGTACATAAGTATCATCAACATTTTTCTGTAGTTGGCTGATTTATTTGATGAATGCCACATCAGTGGTACGAAGCTATGTGTAATAAAGATGCCAAGGAAAAAGTGTTAGTCTTTATTCATAATTTATCATGTTCTGGTATTATCCCCGAGCCGGTGCGAAGCACCGGGCGAGGGTACTAATTCCGCCCGGAGATTTTAATTACGTCCAGGAATGCAAATGCGAAATGAAAGTTGTCCGCCATTATGTCATGGACGTTGGGCGTTTTTGTAAGTTATGCGCGTGCGTGAGTTTAAGACGAGTTAAAACTGGTAACTAACAAACGTTTGCAAGCGTGCGATTGGCTAAATTAAAATTTTGGTTCGCGTCAGCACAACTGATATTTTGAATTATAAAACTTTTATTAGTTTAAAAATATTTTTCATTTGGATGGTTTTGAAAATATACGGAAAAATTCACTTGTAAAATTGATTAAAATGTAAAGTAAATTATGCTTTCCGATAGAAAAACTTTGATTCAAATATAGTTGGTGAAAAATCTACGATTTTAAAGCATTCTTGGAGTGTTTTTGAACAGGTAAATAGGTAGATCTTGTATTTTAAAGCATGCAAGTATTTCGTAAGTTTAACTTGTAGATTATACGACTTCGATCATTCAGCAGAAACGAGTATTATCCCCGAGCCGGCGCGAAGCGCCGTGCGAGGGTACTAATTCCGCTGGGAGATTTATTACACCCGGGTATTGTGACAGAACATAGCGGAATCCAAAGTTGCTCAAATTCTATGTCGTGGACCGTGGACCGTGCATAGAGATTATAAATAACACTAGAGGAGGCATTGGTATCGGAAACATCAGTCGAAAAAGGGAGCGCGATAATGGGGGGCAAATTCAAGTCCCGGATGCTAAGCCAAGCGCTGATTGGCTAGATCAATGCCTCCTTAGCAACCACGTTAGCAACAACTAAAGTTGGTATTAAAAAAATTATATTCGTTTTTCAGGTCGCTTTGCCGGTTCTTTAAGGAAAAACAGTGCTTTTTGGAACTGGTTTTACTACCTTAGATATCCCGAGATGATATTTTAGAGAAAAAACCATTTAGAAATAAAAAACTCGTTAAAAACGACATATTTTGGCCTCGGACATCATGAATGAGTGAACATCCGGGACTTGGATTTGCCCCCCATTAACGCGCTCCCCAATTTCTCCTCGATGACTCCTCTAGTTTTATTTATAATCTCTATGGGACCGTGGACGTTCAATGGTCATGGTGCTTGTGCGCATGCGTGAAATGCGAACGAGTGTAGACTGGTAATCAACGAACGTTCTGATTGGCTAAGACAGAAAGTTTGTAATTCAATGAGAACGTCAGCAATTTAACTGTCATTTCGTAAACATTTTTGTAAAAGCGTTTCATAAACTTTGTGCAAAGAAAGTAAAACGAGAAGAAACAAGATATATGAAGAATGACAGATAGCAAAGATGAACGTGGATACAGTCAAAACAAAGCCGTGTAAGAGGAATAATTCATAATCTGCAAGCTTATAAATGTTTTCAAAGACAAAGGGTACGTGTTTACTTTGTTTATCTCGTACTTGTTTCGCGGTAAGAATGAGCCGTATTTGTATACTTTTCAGCTTTGTATGCCGTTCATTTGTTAAATTTTCAGCTTTTTCTGCAAACGCATAAACCTGTGAAGGGCTATTACACCTTTGCTTTAACTTCAAAAAGTGTTTTTGAAAGTGTAATTTGAATTTTGGTATCAAAAATACACACTATATTTATAAAGTATACTGAAACTTTTAGCCGCCGGCGTTGACTGCAATTACAGAATAAAATAACATTTGAAGTTTTTTCTTTGTCTGTGAAGATTTTGTACTGTTTTAATCGTTTGAAACTTCGATTTTAAACCGTTACTTAATTGCTGGCATGGTATAATGCAGCAAAATTGAACGGGCAATGTTAACACTAGCTTTGTGATTATTTTTGTATTGAATGATGGAAACTTTAAGACTGATTTGAGTTTTGTGTCATTTCATAATATAAGTTTAGGTCAGGTTAACTCAGGAAATTGTGTACTTGATTTGAAATAGCGAGGGGTTGCTGCATGCATGTATTTCTAGTAAATTTCACTAATGGAATTATAGGCTTATTACTTCAGGCGAGGGGATTTTGCATGCATGTATTTCTAGTATATAGAGTATATAGTCCGGTGACTCGTGTGCGATATTAGCCCACTCATATACCCATGTACTTTAATTGAAAGAGTACTCAAGCAGTATAAGCTAGGGGAATCCCCCCTCTCTGGTTTTATACATCGTAATTCACATGACGTGCTGTAATTCGGGTTTCATATGCCGGGTTTCGCAATTCGCATAACAACGAATTAAAACGCGTTGTGACAAGTGAATTAGGACCAAACATGACGAATTATGTCTATTGCTATCCCTCTTCAGTGTAAAAGAGCAGATATTTAGCTTCCCAATAACAACATTTATCAGTTCATAACAGCAATAATCGGGGATTTTTTAAATGAAAATTGGTGATCGAAATCCAACTTGCCCGATTGATGGCAAAGTTAAACAAATTTAAATTGTTTTTTTCAATTAATTTAATTTATATCTTTACCTTTCTTCTTATTTCGCAACAGCAAACTGCTGTAATTGACCTCTGTTTTCCATATATCCTTATATGGCAACAACTGAGTTCTGCTTGTCATCATCTCTACTTTTCATATTACCTTAAATGGCAACAACTGCATATAGAACTTCCATGGGTTTTCACACGTTTACAGAAAATTGTACGATGTTTATTATTATTATTTAATAAGCTTTCTTCAGTTTTGACTTACGTTGACGAAGTGCAGCGCGTTTACTGTAAAGTACGAATAGATATCGGGGCATAGGAGTTGAAGTTAGGTAGGTTACAACACAGTTAAATTACTTAGATAGGGAACAATTTATGATAAAGCATGATATTCTGGCGGGATTGTTAATCCAGCAATTACGGAAGAAATGCTAGAAAAACTAAGGCATTGCTATGGCTTTTATGTGAAAAAATATAGCTCCTATTACTTAATAACTTCTAGGTTAAAACACTGAAGATTGGTAATAAAAAAGTCCAAATAGATAAATACTATTCGAAATAATAAAATTTAGTGCAGTTGCGCTGTGAGTTCAGTGACAGTGACGACTGTGACGTCAGTTATGGCGAAGCATAAACTACATATATGTGTTATTTGACACGCTTGAATTGCCTGTGCGAATACTTGGCCGATTTTAATTAAGATTGCACCATATTGAAGAGAAAATTGTCGCGATTCACTTATTCAAAAAACAATTGGTTTCTGTCCTTGAATTGGCTGATTTAAACACGCAGGAATATTTCGAACTGAGAAAAGCTCGCGAAATGCGAAGGGAAGGCGATTGATGTCGCGAGCTTTTTTTAACTCAAGCAACACTTCCAAGTGTTTGGATCGGGCCATCTAAACACGGAAGATTCAATCACGAAGGTCGAGCATTTGATTTCAAAACGTTTTTGCCGATTTTCTACGTAAACATTCTTAACATGCACACATAATGATGTATTATTGCATCACTGGCAGCAAGTATTTCAGAATGATGAAAAAGCGATATATATATACATATATATATATATATACATATATACATATATATATATATATATATATATATATATATATATATACAGTAGCGGTATTGGGCACTCTGGATACGCTAATAGAACTCTTCTATTTATATTCATATATATATATATATATATATATATATATATATAATTATATATATATATATATATTTATATATGTATATATATATATATATATATATATATATATATATATATATATATATGACGTTTTGAAGGCTGTCGTTTGGTAGTATTCCGGTCTGTTACGGTCTTTACTCTTTACTTTAGCGTAATTCTTACCCACAATGTTGCCTGGATTATATTACCCATCGGGCTGGATGAGTAATATAATGCCTGCACTGTTAAAAATTTGTTGTTAAAGTAACAAAAAAAAATTGGTTAAAAGTGGATCTGAGGTAAATAATTTTTTTTTGGTTAAGAGTACCAATTGTATTTGGTTAAAATTTATTGGTAGAAACTACCAATTTTGCAAATGTTCATTCCAACCAATAATATATTGCAATTTTCACCTATTAATAATACGTTATTTTAACGAATTTAATATGTCATTTTAACCAAATGAAAATAGTTTATGTGTTAATTGGTTGTTTCTACCAATAAATTACAATGCTAATTCAACCAATTATAAATTGTACCTTGGATGGATCTGAGGTAACGTATTTCTTTTTGTTAAAATGGCCAATTTTAACCTTTTCTAAATTGTTTAAAATAACGTATTGGTCAAAATGACCAATATATACGGATAGCGATTTTTTGCCCAGAATTTGGGCAAAGCGATATTTACTTTGAATAAAAGGCATTCAAGATGCCCTTTAAAAGAACTTAGAGTAGCTGATGGCTTTGCATTTGTAGAAAGCGCATTCCAGGATTGGACATTGTTTTTTCCAAGACAGACCCCGGAGGATATCAGGGAAGCGAAGGAATCAGGGAAAGATTCCTATAAGATATATGCAATATTTATTTAATTCGCATCAACTTTATTCTCAAAACAGACTTTTAAAAAGAATTTTAAACGCAAAACAGACTTTTAAAAAGAATTTTAAACACATGCAGCAGTAGGCCATAACAAATGTCACAAAATGTCTTAATTAATTTCTGACATAAAATTGTCAACCGCAATGGGCAATGAGCTATGTGTTGTATTTAGTTCTAGCACATGCTCCAGGAATGTGAAAATATTCTTGGGTAATCCACCTGGATAGCTGGCATTAAAAACATAGAAACTTGCAAGTAACGTAACAACCGCGTTCAGAATTGCATTCACCGGACCAAATTTGCACACGACCATGCCTTCAGCAGCTAAACACAGCGACTCCACATTTAAAACTGTTCCAGCGGACACCAACCTGGGTGTAGAGCTTTGCTCGATAACTTTCGTAATATTTGTTGCGCCTTCTGTTATCTATAAAATGTATTTAATAATAAATGTCATATATGTATAAAGAGTGTATTGAATAATATAATTACTTGAAAGCAAAACCTTGCCTAGAGAGTATGCCTCAGTCTTTAATGAATTCCTTTACATGTTACTGGGGTGTGTTGTTAAACAACCAAATAAGACACAAACTTACGTCAACAATTTTCCAAAACAATTCACCTATAGCTATGGACTTCGACTTTTTCTCGCCCAATACATGCGGTAGGGACGCGAATATACAACGGTTTTCCATCTCTAAAATATGATTTAGGAACTGTTAATATGAATGCGACTGAAAACCTCTTTCCAATTTTGTGATTGAACTGACCAAGGGGATGGTAAATTAGCCTTCCTCATGATTACGAATATGCTGAAAATTGAAATTTCCCCAAAAATGGCGGATATTCGTCATCGTGAGAATCGCTAAATGGTCTGAAATTATACACCTGCATGATTATAAAACGACCGCAAAGTGTGACTTTGTAGTCACAAGTTTGACGTCGAATGTTGCCGAGAAGGTGATTATAATTATTGTTTAAAAGTGTCGCTATGAAATTATTCACTCATTTTATGTCCGCTGCAATGATTGTACAGGCTCAGGCGATTACGGTCGGAGCAAGTGTTCCTACAACAAGAAGTACAACGAAAAATAATTGTTAATTATTTTATATGTACCTTCTACGTTAGTTGAATCACATTCGTCTAATTCCATGAAAAGAGACTGCATGTCTTTCTTCTTATTATGCTTTAAAGCAGCCAACAACCGAGGCGAATCATTGAAAAAGCCTCCTTCATTTCCTGGGCCACGCGTTCACGCTTTAAAATTCTTCCCAATTCTGCTTTTATCTAAAGAAAGAAAAAAAATATAGCTAATAACAATTAAAGCAACTACGACACTACACTTCCTGTCATTTTGCCACTTATATTTCGAGTATACCTATGCGTACGTGATTTGTTGTTATATTGCTGTTTTCCTACCTCACTGCCATTTCCCCTGGTCAAGGGTGGATAATTCTTCAGAGTTTTCCATACCCTCTCGTTGTCCTCCAGAATAGTTTTTCTCCTTTTAGGAAACGTGCCATCCATCAGTTGTCGAACAAGCATCACATCCTGTTTGTTAGTCTTGCAAAAGGCTTTGAGCTGCGAATGCTGCTCATTGACAGTTTCCTCTGTTTCACCTGCTGGGATCAGTGGAATCTCGGACGATTCCAAAAGCTTTCGTTTTCGACCTGGCTTTCTCTTCTCATAAACTTTTCCAGAAGCTTCAACGTTTCTTTTATGCTGTACCAAAAGTTAATACGTGTACATTATCTGGTGACCAGAAGGATCGTGCAAGGGATTTCCTTTGATGGAGTTAGTGGGCATGTTCTTCCGTTCTATGAATATACTTGTATTTCTTTGCATGCAGATTATTTTTATATGTCCAGTATTATAGCAGGAGTAGAGAAATGGAACCATGGGAAATTATCAGACCTTATACAGTAGTTTTTTACCTCTCGAGCATCCCTTCGCCCCACATTTAAAAGTCTATCCCTTATTTTCTTTGCCCAGAATTGCTACAAACATAAATTAGACACAGTAATAGAACAAGTATTGTAGCACTATATATATATAGATATGACACTTAATAATAAATTTATGCCTGAAAGGGTTCAAAATTGAACTTTTTTGTCTGTATCCAACCTTAGTATGTATGGAATCTAGGATTCATTGCATGCATTTTTGAATTATAGTATTCTAGATTTGTATAATATAGATATTAATTGCACAAGTCCCATAATTCATTTTTTTAAAAAGCAAGTGCAACATAATAAACTCCACTTTTTCAATAATGAGTTATTATGGATGGTATGGTTCTAATTAATATGCTACCAAGCCTGCAAACTATAAACATTCAACTGACTGCACTTTGAATGCATGCAAGAACATTTCTAAACCACATTGCATTTGTTCAGGTTTATCTAGATATGTGCAGTACATATTAACAGATGGGGCTATAATGTGAACCAACTATACCTAGCAAAATATAGCAATTCATGGCAATAACATAGAATCAAAAAGCAAGGTTGTTTACCATCATTGCACATTTTCCACAAATTGATATACCAGTCATATTGCCCGGGCAAAATTCATCCATATTCATATTATCAAAACCATGTATTATGTTATACTTACATGACCAGTTCCAAAGGATCCACTCAAACAAGGGTATTTTTGAATAAGCATTATAGCAACTTGGTTCCTCTCAGCTGCAGTTAATTGACCTGAATGCTGTGCCATAATAGACATACACAATTGTCGATTCAGTGCACTTTTCTGTTCAGGTGTAAGCTGGCCAGCTTTCAGTGCATTTTCCACATTTGGTTCCCACTGCAGTATTTCAAAAAAATTCATTTCATTAGCCTACAATTTAGTTGGATGATTAGCCTAATAACTAATTTAAAATATGGCTCATCTGTCTATATACAATATACATGCACCTCATCCATATAAGACCCGTGTGTACACATACAATACTGCATACAATGATTGCATTAATTAGCAGGTATAACTATTATAGGCCTTGATTGCATTAATTAGCAGGTTTAACTATTATAGGCCTTGAAAAAACTAATTATATGATAACATATTTCATGCCATGCACACATTTCAAGTTTACTACAACATATTTTGAGCAAATATACATGCAAAATATGATCAGTCACTAAATGATCAATAATTAATTGGCCTAGCTAATAACAAATTTTAGTGCTCACAATTAATCTAACTGACTGATCAACATTTTAGTGTGCTTTATATGGAAAAAAATATTATCCTGATGTCATATTAAAAACATATAATTTAGCCACATGCACAATTACCCTGGAAGGAATTTTGAAATTCTTGATCCATGAATGAGGGGAAAGCAAACTTTTTGAGGAATTTGAAGTGGTCTACAATCAGAGTTGAATTAATGCTTATCAGTTATCAGTATTGCATCATGCATGCAGTCAAAAATAAAACACAAATAACCTATTAATTACAATTAAGCATTTACACAAATTTCAATGCAGCCACTGAATTAATTGATGATCATTGATCTGTAAAATGCACTGAAGGTGCATTCAAAAGCATTTATTAACACAGATTATCTCTTAATTGTATATTAGAAACACACATTGGGGAATCACCTTATTGCATGGACTGGTTTCAGTGACCTCTTTACTCGCTTGTATTAGCGTTGCAGGCTGGAAAACATCATAATACTTCAGAAACATTATCAGGTCCCCAGCAATAGACCCATAGTTTCTGTGATGGTGGTGCATGTATATTAATTATACTTTATAAGTTTATCAAATTACTAACCTCAACTGGCTGGTCACAATGAACTGAGTCGAAGATAGACCCAGTTTCTTTCTCAGGTGTAGCCTTATAATGTAAATGTTCAAAATTTATGCAGTTATGGCAATAAAATCATGCAGCATATCACTGATCATTAGTTACAAAATGAGTCAGAGTCTCAGTTAAAAAGCAGGCACAAAAATACCACCCAGAATCACATAGATTTCTATAATTTTAAATGTTAAAACCAACTCATACCATTGTGGTAAAAAGGTACCACACTTGTTGCTCAGCAACCTTAGCTCCAGAAATAAACATATATAAAAGTATAGTCCTCACTACTCACTAGGTTTTAGAATTTAGCGTTTTAGGTGATGTTGTGGCAATTTATCGTCTTAGCTAGGTGATGTTGTTGTTTTGCCCGATTCATGTTCATTTTAACACAAATAAAATAATACGACATTAAAAGAATGTATCTATAGCGTACGTACATTAGACTCACTGGAATACCCTGGAAAAGCTGTGCTCCTATCAACTTTTGCACCATTGGAGTCAAATTCCTAGAATTAAAAAAGAATTCTTTGTTAAAAGAGACATGTGTGTGTTGTACATAATATATATTATCATTCACTGCATACGGCTTCGGGAGATAACGCCATAATAATTCTCAATATCACGCTCAACCTCTTTCAGTAATTATTTACTATATAGCAAACATAATAATAAACATAATATTATAGATAGTATTAAAGACAGATATATAGTAAAAAAATAATATAGAAATATTCCAGCATCATTGAGGTCCAGCTCCCAGTTTGTACTAGTCTTTACTCTTGTAATATCAGTTGCACAAAAAATTAAATATTATATGTATATGTACAACAACAAATACATTTTTAAAAACAGACGAGCTTGGGGTGGTCATGTGACAACTGTCAATCACAATGTAAAAAATAATTCATCTCATTTCAAGCCATTCAAACAGACCCGATCGAGCAAGAATATAAAAATTGTTTTTAGGTTAAAAATGTTTTTAGGTTTTTTATAATCAGTCTCACTTACCATGCCGGTAATCGACGTCCACAAGGCTATGAACTTTTTTCGCGTTTTAAAAGTTGGAATGAACTGTTTTATGTCTCTCAGTTCGAAAGCAAAAAAGTCTTCGCCGTCAATTTTGTTATCTGAATAAAATGATAAAATTAGTGAAAGACGTATATACTGTACATATACATCAATTTGCAACGGCGCATAGCAAACCAGGCATTATAATACGGAATTTTTACAAGGACACACATTGTCTTTAGGTTCAATAATCACTCAGTCTTAGAAATTACAACGTGAAATTACAACGCAAGCATATAAAAAAGAGCATAGCCATGCAAAGCACGGTCCGTCAGTCTCTAGCCTTTTTTAATATATAATATATTCAATAATGTCAAATTTATAATAAAAACAATAATTATTTTAAATAGTCAAATTAAAATTATATTAGACATTTTTGTCCATGAGGCATGATTTTTAACTACACACTTTTTCATTTACAAGGACACATTCGCCTTTTACAAGGACACAAAGTGTGTCAAAAACACGCGTATTATAATGCCTGTAGCAAACCATAGGCAGTAGACACTGCAACTCTCAGTGGAGACGAGTATATAAATTGTAAAACAGCAAACAAAATTCAATTCAAAAAAATGCAAAATGCAATATATTTACCAACAAATTCGTCCACCAAATCTGAAAAACCATTCCGTTCTAAAAACAAAACAACGTCTTCCGCACTAGAAGTCTTTTCTAACGACAAAGACATGTTTTTTTCAAGTAAAAAGCTACGAAGAATCAAGCATGAAACAGCTGTCGCGAAGCGCCGAGAAACAGAGAAAGCAAGACTTCACTTTTAGCGCGAATATCCCATGATGACCCGCGTAAAACCATATAAGGAGTCCGCGCAATTTTACAAGGAGTATTGGCTGGACAATTTGAAAGAGAAGCAAGTTATAGTTTTTTTGAATATTTTTCGAAAAAAATGTAGCGGAAAAATCACTAATAACCGCATAGTTTTATCAAACAGAATATTCGGGAAAGCAATGAATCGTATTCAATGCCAAGTGTGTGGAGATTTTTTCACTGCAGCTATATCTGATATGGTTAGTCATTTAGTTTTGGTCCACCAGAATGACCCTGGTATTCACATTACCTGTGAAGTACCTGGATGTCAATCTACATTTGGCCGTGTTTTTTCCTATAAAAGTCATCTTCGTCGTAGTCATAACACCATTGATCTCAAGAAGCCGATAACACAACTGGTAGATGCTCATGACGATGCAGAAGGATTTGACAATTTTGAGGGAAATGTTGGGGTAAACCCTCAAAATGGAGTTGCAGATGAATCAGCGGAAACGAAACGTATTAACGCCCTCTACCTATTAAAACTCAAGGAAACCAACTTTCTCACACAAACATCGCTAGATACCGTTGTGCAAGGAACAACTGGGATCGTAAAAAGGACAGTCCAAATGTTAAAAAAGGAAGTGGAAAAGAAACTTGAAGCAGGCGGAGTAGATGTTGCTGAAATCGAAGGATTAAGTGACCTATTTGACGAAGATCATCCTTTTTCGAACCCTATGGCCCACGTCGAAACGAAACATCAGCAAACAGCATTTCACAAAACTAATTTTTCATTGGTGGTGAGTGAAAGGTTTTGTGGGAAAGGCGGGTGCATTCCCTCCCTTTGATAGAAAAACGGAGCTGTCCTCCCCTGAGTGTCGGCCCCAGAGGCAAAGTAGATAAAACATGCTTTTGTACGTATTCATTTTCTCACCTAAGGAACCAACTCGAATATTACTTGGTCATGTTTCAAAGAGAAGGAGAGTTGGAACGGGGTACAATGAAGTTTTGGCTAATGAGGAATTTGCTTATGTCCCCTTATTGGAATCTTTAGAACAGTTGCTAAACCAACCATCTGTTCTTATACAGGTAAGTCCTTAACCACAGTCCATACTGTATATGTAATACTATATTTTCATAGTCTATAGTTCATAAAAATTACCCCTAATCCGGGGCGCCGGAACAACGGGGGCAGTCACCCCCACTGCCCTTCAATTTGCCTACCAGGGAGAGAGGGGCAAGCCTTGAGCCTTTTGCTTAATCACCATTTAATCATGATGCCTACTTTCGCATTGAAACTAACCGATGATATTATTGAAAATGTATTCGCATGCTTGTAAATTTAAGTTATCTTCGTGCGGTTGCTATAGTGACATGAATGTGCCCTTTTCTAAAACTCCGCCCCCGCCGCCCTAAACTGCTTCAGGAGCCTCTGTTCCTAATACTAATTAAATAATCTATTTTTCCATGAATTTTCACTACTAGGTTTTAAACGGACATGCAAGCACCGATGGCTACATGAGAGATTTCTGCGATGGCCAGTTATATAGATGCCACCCCTTACTATTAAGAAATCCACAAGCAATTCAAATAATTTTATATTATGATGAATTAGAAATTGTTAATCCACTCGGAAGTAAGACTGGAAAGCACAAACTTGGTAATTACACTCATACAATATTTTCAATTTCCAGTAAACATTCTACACATTAGCATACTGTATAAGAATATTTTGCGAGCATTAGCTGTATCTTTCCCCGCACTTAGTGCCGACTGCTCAATTTGCGTTACTTGTAGGTGCTTTCTACTACACATTGGCCAACATACACCCTGAACACAGGTCCCAGCTTCAGGCAATCCAACTGGTTGCACTTGTTACTGTGCCCCTTGTTAAAAAGTATGGAATAGATGCCATATTGGAGCCGTTTATGAATGATCTGAAGGAACTTGAGAAGGTAACATGCGTTCCAGCAGATAAATTGAATACAAAATACAATTAGACCTCAAGCTGAAAAATCTCCCGTAGGATGAGGGGCATGGATTTAAAATTGATGGCAGAATACAACGACTACAAGGGACAATCGTTTACTGCTGTGGCGATAATCTTGGCTCACAACTTCTAGGTGGGTTTAAAGAAGGGCCTGGCTCATATCGAAAGTGCAGAGAGTGCATGGGAACCCTCGAGTTAATAACTTCACAGGTACGAAAAAACAAACCATTTCTTTAATTACTGTAGCCAGAGATTAGCCACGCGGAAAACGAATTCTTATTATAAATATGAGAGCCCGATGGTGAATGCCAAATTATCAATGTTATATGTTTGGCTCTTATATTTATAATAAGAATTATTTCATTACATTAATTTTGGATGCTTGTACTTGTAAAATTAACTAAAAAGTGTCTATGCCATCTGGATCATCCTAAAAAATTACTCGCTGTATACCAATTGTACGCCATGGTTCTGTTTGTAATAACGTCTTAGGGTTAATATTTTCTGATTATTCAGTTCCTAGAGAAGTACTTTGAGTTACGTTCTAAGGAAGGTCACAACCATCAGTGCGATCAAATAGAGCTTAATCCCGACCTCTCTGTCACATATGGCGTCAAGCGAAAGTCCAAGTTGTGTGACTCGAAATACTACCATGTCATTTGTGGCCTGCCTGGTGATGCTATGCACGACATATTGGAAGGGGTATTGCAGTATGAGTGCAAGGAGATGTTAAAGCACCTGATAAATGGTGAAAAATGTTTCACATTAGAGCAGTTGAATAGTCGAATACAGCTGTTCGACTATGGTTACATGTATGACCGTGACAAGCCCTCACCGATACAGCCACGCACCCTTGCCAGTGACAACAATAGCCTCAAACAAAAAGGTATTGCTCAATCTTTAAAAACAGTTTACATTCTATACAACATGACAAAATAAATGATATCAATAGTATTAAGTGCTTAAGGCAAAACATTGCCAATCAATAAAAAGATTGATTAATGTGTACAGTAATTGATTGAGGCAGACATCTACTGTAACTTTTAACTACTTGAAATAATTAATAAATGAGTGCAGAGAACTGTTATTTCTGCTAAGTTTGTATTGATTAAACCAAATAATTTGCCTATTAATTTTCTGATTGCTTTGATCGAGATTTAATTTGAGTGCTAATTTTTGTCCATATTTATGTTTAGCGAGCCAAATGTATTGCTTGTCCAAATTCTTACCATTGATGGTTGGTGCACTTGTCCCTGATGATAATGAGCACTGGAAGCTTTTCTGCCTGCTCCTAGATATCGTTGATATTGTTTTTGCAAATATCACTTCTGTGAACGCCATTGGTGTATTGGAGGGGCTAATTGAAGAGCATCATTCTACATTTCTTCGAATTTATCCAGGAAGATCAATCATCCCTAAGATGCACTACATGGTTCACTATCCATCCCATATGATGAGGTATATGTACTTTTGTTATATGCTGCAGTTTAAACCTGAAAACAAAGATTAATAATTAATTTCATGAATACTCAATCAAACTACACATGGCAGCAGAAGACACAAACTAGAGGGAGGGTCTCATATTCATACATTCAATGATAGGCAGGAGTGTAAAAACAATCTATTTCTAAGGCAATTAAAAAGACAGAAAATGGATTTAGCATTATAATCATCCCCAATCAATTATGCTCTTCTGCCACCTTCGATAGGAATTTAATAATCAAGTCCAGCAAATTTACACATAAGTTTATAGTTGTAATACTAACAATTTATATAATCTGTTATCTTTCACATGTTAGAAAATGAAATTGGCCTTTATTACAAAAATTCTAATTATATAATTCAGCACTTCTATACACTGTAACTAATAAATTCAAAAAAAAATAAAAAAAAATAATATATATATATATATATATATTATATATATATATATATATATATATATATGTATATATATTCAAAAATACATCATCAAAATACATGTCACATTGCTGTAGATTTGGACCAATGAAAAGAACATGGTGCATGCGATTCGAAGCTAAACATCGGTATTTTAAACGGTTGGCTTCCTTTATTGGAAATTATAAGAATGTGGCGTACACAATGGCAACCCGTCATCAAGGGCAGCAGTGCTACTATTCAAATGTTAATAAAGAAGGAAGTTCATCATTCCTCCAGCGACCAACTTCAATAGGTAATTATACAATCCAATTCATATAGGTGTATAGAAAATGGTTAATTCACTTACATTTTTGCACTTTTATAGGAAGTGGACAAACAGTTGTAGCTCAGAGAACTGATTACTATGCTGATTTGCAAGCTAAAGAGGGAAACATATTGACTGTTGATACTTTTTATGAGTAAGTAAACTGTATTATTATACTAAATAATGAAAGATCTAACCCTTGGCATAATATTTTGCACACATACATAGTATTAATTTTTTCACAGTACTGGGAGAAAAATACATAATGAATATTACTTTTTAACACCCAGCTTTTATATACATACAATACCGCGATAATGATTGAATAATCATTTACCACATGTTTTATAGGTCTCAAAAAGTTACTATCAATGGTAGTGATTACATGGTTGGAGCAATTGTAGTCACTGGTTACTTACATGAGCAGGAGGCACCAGAATTTGGTCTTATTACCAAGATTATATCTCTGCCAAACAAATCCTATTTTCAGTTGAAGAAGTATGTTGCTGTACAGTTCAGTTATCATTTCCATGCCTTTGAAGTAATTGCTGGTGAGGAGCCTCCAACCTTAGTCACCAGTGAAGATCTTTTTATTCACACCCCAATGCATCTAGTTCATCCTATCAGTGCAGAGGGAAGAAATGCTGCTTTTTATGTTGTACCTTACAGCATGACCATTCACACATAACTGATACATATTATATATATGTATATATCTATGTATATATAACCATGTAGATTAAATGGTTATTAAATGGTGTTAGCAAGAACATGCCAAAAAGATTTCTGTGTTGCAAGCTGGACTGTTACAAAATATTCTCCTGCTATATAGTAATGGTATTATATATATATATATACTAGTTATAATAGTTGTGCATGAAGTTATATGTCTTAAAGTTATGTCAAAACATACAGTCATGAAGGTCTGTTCAGTGTTCAGACAGGTACACATTCCAAATTTCTGATCCAATGCTGTTTCTCATTATATACTTTTAGGACATAGTTATAAATTTGATACCATCAAAACCATTATTTACCAGGAATGCATTATGGTGCATGTCTTGATTATATAATATCCTCGTTCGAATACACTCAGTCAAATAGGGAAATGCGTGTCTGCGGCAACAATGTTTCTACAGTACTCAATTAGACTCATGACAAATATTTGGTTCTGTATAGAACACTTCATGGAATAAACATTTGCTAATTTAGTAATTATTGAATCTACACGCACACGTTTTGAAATGTCATTGACACACATTTAACATATGTCCTTCAACCATATTTATAGTTTAAGCGAGTATACAATAAAGTATTAAACAGCTTACTATAAAAGAATAACAAATTCAAAACCACTTACGTTTTAGTTTTTACCCGATGACAATGTCAAAACATGACGATATGAGTCAATGACTTTTCTCCGTATGTCTTGTGTATTTCATATTTCACCTTTATATAACTTTTCGTCGACAAAAATAAACCATTGCGAATTTTTGTGAACATTGATTAATAATTTGGATCGGCAGAGGTTGCTGGAGGTGTGTCTTGTGATATTAAAAATATCACAGAAGTTTGGAAAGTTAAATTCATTTAATCATGAGTTAACTGATAACTGCACTCCTACGCGAATCCGCCATTTTGAATTTTCAAGTAACCAATTGTTAATTGGTCACATTTGTGCCGTCGAATTTATCCCTATATTATCCCTTGTAGCAGATATGCTACACTGGAAAATCAAGGCTCATTTTGCCTTCATTTTGGAATATTTTTTCAACTTTTACACCATTGTAGATAATTTGCTACATGTACTTCTCATTAATATTCATAACACCCTCCATCCCCCCCGGTTGTGAAGTTTTTGTATTAATTAAAAATGGCGGCTCAAGGAGTGGAGGAATTGGCAGAATTCAAGGTAATTCTAAATTTAATTTTAGTATTCAATCGTTATAATTTGTTAATTCTTTGCTAATATTTTCAAATTAGGAACTCTAAAGATCATTTGGGCGGTATTTTTTTCAAAAACCATCTCTTTTAACACTCGAAATTTATAAGTAGAACTCAATGTAGCACATAAGCTACATTGGTCAACACAGAGTAAAATTAATGAGAATGACAAATATTGAATAATCTCATTTTCCTGGCTTTTTTTTTGTAAAAAATTGTAAATAAAAGTTAAATTTGTTTTAAACCTATGACCCCTTTGAATTAGAAACTATAGGTTGTAAATTGGTAACAATATATTGCTACATTTTTGACAAATATCTGAAATATTGCTTCTGTTCTTAGGAACCACATCATTACGATACCATTGAAGAAATTATTGAGGCTGTTACTGGTTCCGATAGTGAGTTAGATGAATTATCCAGTGATGATGAGTCAGATGAAATAAATTATGAACAGTCTCTGCCTAATTATAACAGTATTTATGAAGAATATGAATGTGATGATGCCATTAACGAGGAGCTACTTAGTGATGATGAGCCACTTGCTTCTATTGCAAAGAAGAAAAAAGTATACAATTTTAACAAGCGAAGACGATTTATTCCACCTTCAAATCTTGATTTTGTTGATGCTGCCCTTGAACCCGAGCCAAAGGAGGACACACCCTACAACTACTTCAAGTATTTTGTGACCAATAACATGCTTGAATATTTGGCTGAGGAATCCAATAATTATGCCCACCAGAAAGCAGGAATCACTTTACAAACAAACTCATCTGAAATAGAAACATTCATTGGTCTATATTTCCATATGGGGTTAGTGAAAATGCCAGCAGTCGGTTGCTTTTGGGAGACATATACTCGTTATCACCCAATTGCTGATGTAATGGCAAGGCAGCGATTCCAGAGGATTGCTTCATATTTGCACATAGTTGACAACTTAAAAGTAACAGAGGAAGAAAAAAAAGATAAAGCCTGGAAGATAAGGCGATGGTTTGATGATTTGAATGCAAATTTTTCTGAAGTAAGTCCCTCAGAAAACCAATGTGTTGATGAGATAATGGTTGCCTTCAAAGGAAGATCTATTCTTAAGCAGTACCTTCCAAAGAAGCCCAAAAAATGGGGGTTCAAACTTTGGGCCCGATGCTCATCCACTGGTTTTTTACATGTATTTGACATATATCAAGGCAAAGGCACTGGAATGGATGATAATGATAATGTTCCAGATTGTGGATTGGGTGGAAATGTCGTGTTGAAATTATGTTCAGCTCTTCCATCAGACAGAAACTTCAAGGTTAGTTGTGCCTGTAATTGTAACTCCCTGATATTTTCTGTTTGCTTGATTTTACTCAAAGTAAATAAACCTAGCTTGGGGCGACTGTTATAGCATATTGTAATAAATTGAGATAAATTACATTATAGGTATTTGCTGACAACTTCTTTTCAAATTTCGCTATGGTGAGTGAATTGGAAAAGCGAGGTTTGCATTATGTTGGCACCATCAATAGCAATCGCCTTCATGGAGCTCCACTGAAGTCAGAGAAAGAATTGAAAAAGGAAGGTAGAGGAGCACATGACAGCGTTGTTGAGACAACAAAAAATTTGTCATTAGTTCGTTGGTTTGATAACAAGTGTGTCACTATGATATCGTCCTATATTGGAGCTGAAGAAGTTGATTCTGTGCGAAGATATGATAGGTCAAAAAAGGAGCATGTCAATGTTGAACGTCCATCTCTTATCGGGGTTTACAACAAATCAATGGGTGGAGTTGATCTCATGGACATGTTGTGCACACTTTACAAGTATCAACTTCGAAGCAAGCGATGGTATCTCTATATCTTTTACCACACCCTAACCATTGCTCTGGTGAATGCATGGCTCCTGTACAGAAGAGATTGCAAAGCCTTAGATGTTCGCGTAATGCCCTTGAGGAAATTTCAAGCTATGGTTGCTGCAGCCTTATGCAATGTAAAAAAGTCCCAACGTGGGCGTCGATCACTCGATTGTTTGAGCAAGAAAAAGAAAGAGGTGAACCCAGCACCTGTAACTGATGTTCGGTTTGATGGTGTTGGCCATATGCCCAGCTATGAGGACAAAAGGCAGCGGTGTCGGAATTGTCCAGAGGGATTTGCATTTGTCAAATGTGTGAAGTGCAAGGTTCATTTATGCCTGAACAAAAATCGTAATTGTTTCCTTGCCTATCATAGTAAATAGGAGAACATAGTATATCTCTACCAACTGAGTTAAACCATAGTTAATACCTGACTTTGTATTGAAAGAACAGGGTATTTTAAGATTTACTGGACTGAAAGTTATTCTTATAAGCTGTTATGTTATTAGCCGATGTAGCAAATATGCTACATCATAGAATTTCCTAGAAAAAAGGGTAAAAATAAAATTTTTTTTATTATCTTGTTATTTGGTCCAAGAATAGTGAGGTAACATGAATAAATAATTTTTAGGCCACTATAAAGCACTTTGGATAATATAGGGTTATAACTATTTATTAAATAGTTATAAATTGTTAACCAATAAATAATCCTTTGTAGTAATCAAAAAACAAATGGTTGAATCAACCAATTGCACTTGACCAATAAATTTTAGGTTCGATTAACCAATTTTAATTGGTAGCTAAGAAAAAAATTGGTTATTTTAACAAAAATTTTTAACAGTGTGGAGAGAGTATTTGATACACAACAACGGACAGCATATACTTTGGCAATCTTCGACGTTTTCCGACCCTGTAACTGCTCTCGATTATTGTTTACATTTTTTTTCAAGTACCCATACAACAGGAAATTCTCGACTAGAGCATACACTTCTCGTATGTCAATACAATCCTCATCTATCGCTTGCACTTTGTTTGACTGCAGTATATACATGCTCATATATGATTATTTATAAAGTACGCCACTTAGGCGAAGGCCACGGCCAAGTAGACACAATTTTTATACCGGCACTACTCACGAGTCTTTATACGTGTTTAATACGCAGATCATACAGCGATCCATATATATTTAATAGCTGATGCATTAAATAGTTTATCACGAGGCAATGCAAGCATAGTTTCTTGAAATATAATCCATTGAGACTTGTAAAGACTTTTCCATTATTTTTAAATTTTAAGTCCTCCCAGGCCCTGGGTAACCACAAAACCTTAACTTACGCTATATGTTCCCACGACAGCCATGATTGTGTCTCTCAAGTAATGCTATTAAGTCCCTAGAACACAATCCCTAGAGCACGAGTGTACGCCTAAGCCGGCGTTTTGTTTTAAATTAAATCCGTAAATAACTTGTCTTTCTACGCAATAAAAAAAAAGTTATTTAGGGATTTACCATAAAACAATATAAAAACGTGGGGAGTATAACAATCCGACAATTATATATGAATGCCCGTGAGTCTGAAATACAGTTCCCGTGCATGATTGTTCGCCGTTTGTCGAAATTGCTGGCGGTTATGCTGGCGAGGCTGCATTTGCAACAGCAAAATTAATATAGAACGCTAATCAGTTTATCATAGATTTTATGATTTTAATGCATTGACAAACGTTTTAGATTTAATGTGAAAAAAGACTGTATAGGAATTGTTTATCGTCAGCGAAATTTGGGCTATGCGCGGGGCGAACTGCGTTGGATGTGGCAAGAATGTTATTGACTTGTTGCTATTAACTACAACTGAAGGTCACATGCAGGTCTAGCTTCCTGCACTTTAAAGTAACGAATAGAAAGGGTGCGCGATAACATGT